TCTCATCAGCCTCATTTACAAGTCATCCCAAGAATAGCTGTCAATTTGAAGAGAATTTTATTTCTCCTTGTTTGCTCTTGATCCTCCACGGGTGCAGCGTTCGATGGGGACAAAAACTAGTTCGGTCAATTCCACGAGGATGACTCGGACCACCGAGAAATTCAGTACCCGCTTAATGTACGAGTAGTTAATACAGCAAGGCAACTACAAAGAGTAAACAATTTATAACTGTGGCAATTTCTGTTTGAAGAGACTTAAGTTTGGGGAGTCAGTCAGTTGTATACACTTGGATATACACCTGCTAGTATTCGCATATTGGTAGAAAGCTTGATAGCCATATACGCGGCTAGAGACTGACTCGGCTTTACCATTATTTGTCAGCAATCTTGATGGCCGGGTGTAATTCCTACAGAGAATCAGTGCTCAGCTGATAAAGATTAAGGATAACTAATAAAACGCTATCTTCAAGCTCTTAAAAGGAAATAAAAGAACAGTTTTCTTTCCTTTGAGAATGTTAGAAGTTGTTTATGCAGAGGGAAATTCTTAAGCTTTCCTTTATAGCCAACAGAATTCCGTCATAACTCTTAGCGGCACCACAAGGACCTCCCAACCCGGATCAGAGAAACGTCCGCAGCTAGGGCCACAAATTAATTGTACTTCGTTTCGCCGTCTAGTTATGACTTACAATGCTTTAAGACACGAGAAAATGTCAGTGTACGTCTCTGAATATCAAAGAAAACGCCGATAGTTTTCCTGCATATTTGTGGTAAAAGGAATAAATGTGCAACTTGTGCAAAGAAGAAGATAAAACATTTCGTAAACCTAGCCTAAGGGCATAAAGATTTTTTTCCTTGCAACTGTAAGAGAAATGATTTCAAGCACAGCATTTTGAAGGGAATAACTAAGTAAGCACAGGCTGGACAATTTCATCTACACCACTCATGTAAGACTTAAGCCGAAAATGTAATCATGATAATAACAATAAAAAACAGTGCTTACAAGATCATCCTATAAGGTATAAAAATTAGTAAGTGTCAGGTTATATACTGAATTTTTTCTCCAGTTGTAATCAAAAGCAGCATTGATGACAAGATCATCTCATAACGAAAATGTCTGAGCGTGTGATTATACTGAATAATACTTTATATCGCGTATTATCAGCACACCTGTTATAATCTCTAACTGTCCATTTAAGATGACTAAAAATGAAAGACTTCTCTCGGCTTAACTCAAGAAATGGTTAGGTCGTAGCCTCATTTCCGATCCGGTCACTCGCCTCACCTTTCTAAGTTTCGTTCTAATTGTTTTAGAGGTTGTTATCGATCAATATATTGCACACCGTGTAACCGAAATAACTCAATTTTTTATTGAGTTGAGAGCACAGAAGTTATTGCCGTGTAAGTCTGACTCTGAACCGAAGTAATGCAGCCCGCTGGCAAAACGTGTATCCGGACTCAGAAACTCGTCAAAAACTTCTGTGGATGAAGTAATATTGAAAAGTAACGTCTTGCCTCAAACAGGCGAAACGTGAACCCAGTTATTATAATATAACACTGTGACAAAATGAAGGTTCTTTCTGGGTGAATAAAAAAAAAATTCTACAAAGCTCAGTTCATCTCAAGTGAATAAAATATTGCGGATACATTTGTCACTGCGGATACAGCATTTTTTTGCAGGTCCATCTTAGCGCTAGAAGATTAGAACATCTCTTAAAAAGCCTGAGATGAGTGTCCTATATAGTTAACTGAGATCTGCTCTTACTGACGAATACAACCATGACAACTAAACCGGCTCAATACACAAAGCAATTATCTATGGCTGTAGCGACGAAAGAAAGACCACCACCTTTTAAAACCACTTTTTTTATGTGCGATCTGTCAATAATAAAAGCTACCCTACGAATAGACACGGCCAAAATGCAATAATATAAACTTACCGAAGAATACTCGTAGTTTTGATCAAGTATTCAAGAAATGCCCCAATACATTGCAACCTAGACGGCTACGAAAACAAAACACTGTTGTACAGGGAGGCCTACAAAAATTGATCATTTTGTGGCAAAAGCGCTTTAAGAGCAAATGCTTGACATTTTATCTCAGAGTCAAAGTTTTACAAAGATCAGTTTATATTAAACCAGAAAATTGGATTTAAGATCAAAAACAAAAAAAGTTAGATTGCTCAAAAGAGAAAAATGTACAATTCAAGCCAGCACACACTTTAAGATAAAACAAATTTCCACCGTAATTCACGGACACACAACATCTATAGCAGCGGCAGCTGCAACCTAAACGAATCCTTTGAAATATTTTAGCATAATATTACCCTTTGAGTTGGGTGACTTCCGACATCATAAAACCAACCTTCAGCACGTTAATTTCTTTACGACTTCGCCTGCCTTCGGGCTCCTAGATGAAGGAAACAACTTATTTTCTCACAACAATGACTACGTAAACATCTTAAGAAATATCCATGAAGAAAATGCTAGAGTCAGCGGCGTATATTTTTCAAGGTTCCACCTCTTCTAAAGAGGAGCCGATGACACAATAGAATAAAAACTTGTAGAATACCAGCCGTGCTTTTCTATTGCTAATTATACGTAAGCGGAATCTTGCTCCTATCTCTAATGTTTCTCTTTCAGTATTTTTTGACTTCAACACAAAACTAACTTTTCAATAACGAAAAAAATAATGTCACGACAATCCGAGTTTTCACCTCTCTACACGCGCTGCCATCACTTTAATTCACATCTTGCCTGGAGCAGAGAACAAACAAGCGCGATTAGAATGGGTTAATGGTTATTTTATTTGTTCAGGAATATTACTGCGTTAAAAAAGTCAAGTTTTCCACTTTAAGATTACAAGTTGGCCACCCAGGCCAAATGAGCGAGGAGGACAATAAAATCAAAGCACAAGATCACGTAACCCCCCGCTAAAGTCAGCTTGTTGAACTGCGGCAGTAGCCACTTGAGATGAAAGATTTGCCGCCTAACTCACAGCATTTGTTATTTCTCGAGAGGCGTGATGGTGCGTAAGTGTCTATTTAACCGCAATAATTTCCTTGCTTGAAAACCCTAATACGTAAACACAATTTTAAATTTAAGAAAACTCCCCTGGAATCAAACATTTGGATTGTCTTAGCGAAATCAAGGACGCTTTTGAGGACTGCAATGTAATACGGCTGTCGCGACAAAGCGATAAAATAGTTGAGTTTCGTCGGCGGCTCGAAGAACAAACGAACAATGAGGTCGGATCGGACATTTGACTAGGCCAACCTTACAGAGTAGGGTTTCATACCATTACGGCGGGAATGCTTAAGGATATAAAGAGATCTGTGTCTGGTACAAAATTTTCTTGATCGGTTGTAACTGTTGTCAATACCTATCCGGACTATAGAATTAACCACTTTAGAACTGAATAGCGAATAATTACAACGATGAAATTACGAAGAGCCACTTAATTAGAGCCATTCACTTGACCGAATAGTTAAAGCTAAGAGGTCTGTTTAGTCAGAGTCAAAACACTAAAACCACTGCCTAATTCACAAAGTGTTTGTTATTTTAAGATAGTAATAAAAATATTTCGGAACGGAGGAAGCCTTGGTCCTTATAAATCAAAAGAGCGAACATAAAAGAACCTTAACAAAGATCCGGCGATCATATGACCTCGTAAGTACAATTCTCCAGTAAACAATAACTTGACTCCACAACAAAAACTTTTGTTAACAAGCAATGCAATTTGGCTTCTTTAGTTTTCAAACCAACAAAACGTTTCGGGCGTCGAATTTTCGTCTGTCCAGGCCGACAGAAATCATTTCGAATGCAGAAAATAACAAAGCGAATCAAAGAAACCGACCCCATTCAGTCGTGTCAAAACAAAAGCTTATTCTCAACGGTTAAATGATCTTTTTTTCGCCACGAAAATGCCGCGGCGTAAGCTAAGCCACAATGAAAACGTTTTCTACCTGGAGTCAGTGCTGAGTACCGTCGGCTCTAGTCTAGGTTCGACGCTGGAGGGACAAATTTACAATTCACCGGTTGCAATCAATTGACACGCAGATTGACCTTAAAGCTACACTCACGACTTGCAGTTAACATACAAGAGGTCTTCGACGTATCGATCTTCTGCGGTTCAATTGTTCGAGCCGTGGAAAGAATAGGGTGAAAACGAACTCAATTGCCCATGAGATTTCGCATTGTCTTCAAGCCGCTAAATACCTGCAATTGGCGGTATCGAATTTCACGGGCGTGCCTTATGTCGCAAAACCACTTATGACCGACAGTTTTGCTTGTCAACAAGCCATCAATATAATCGCAAACGTGACGCCGAGCGCCCAAAAATAACGCAACACCAGTCAACACGAATAATTTTCCACTTAAAATTAATCCTTCTCATTCGGTGCGCTTTTTTTAGGCAGCAAACAAGGCAATAAAGGAGTGATTGTAAAAACGCCCAGCGTGTGCTTGGATTGTTATTTCTATCGTCTTCCTCGCGTTTCTAATTTGCTTTTTTCTTAACATGGTGGAACAATTGTGAGACCGCAGGTGGCCTGCGCAGATCGGACTCATTTTTTGCACGTGCAGTTCGCACTCAGCGGTTCTATGGAAACTTCCTCTTCATGGCAATGCCTTGGACACGAGCCTCGTTTTTCTGCTTTCTTCCGGTGAAGAGAGATCGACTGCAATTTGTGACTTTCGTCAATTCAAGCGTGTATCATAATAAGCTTTTGTAAACCAATTATTTCGATGCCAAAATCGATTAAGAGAGACGAGGCACTAAGCGCGAAATCTGTCTGCCCGAGATCAAGTCAAGAATAAAGCACAGAGGGCTACTTAACGAATTTATTTTCTACAACTTTCTTCGTAGTAGTGCCATTTGCCTTTTCATGCACGTGGACTCGGTGTCCTGTTGGTCCTGGTTGGTCACATAACGATCAATCAAGCTGTCATGTGTCATTAAAGAGGAGACAATAAAAAAGACGCCTAGTCGCCCTTCCTACCAATAGCTTAGTTGTTGAGGTGTCAAACCGATAGAGCGAGGTTGCCTTGAATCGAAGCGACTTTATACCGGGCAACTTTTCATACTATTCGGATTCGCGCGCGAAAAACTCAAGCGCCCTCGCACATCACTGCACAACCCAACCAAACTGAGTCCCCGTCCTAGTTGCAAAACAGGTGGAATCGTCCGTCCGCCGTGTCCCTCGCATGGAGCATAAATAGAAAACTACGCTACAAAAATAGAGAAGTCAATCGCACGGAAAAACAATTACACAAACAACAATACTGTGGCAAGTTTACAACTACAGTGTTGGTAGCTTGGTGCTTAGATCACAGAGATAGGATATCCCTGACAGCTGCTCTACATAAATACGTCTGGGTTATCCTTGACCGAGTTTGTGTAGTTTTTTTCTGCGGCGCGGTGGACTACTGCCACCGCGCGGCGATCTGATCCGAGTCACCGACGATGACTATGGAAGATAGCTGCCACCGGAAGGCTCCGAAAATAATCGGTTAGTTACACCTATTTGAAGCTAGGTTTGTAGAGAGGGCTGCTGCTGTTTAGAGTTTAATTTGACTTGATTGTTTTGCTATCTGTTAGCAGGGAAAACAAGCTGTGGGCAAAATGGAACTCAGAGACGGATGAGTGTGTGCACGGGATGCCAGGAACCCATCGAAGACCGATTTGTAATGAAAGTCACTGACGAGCCGTGGCATGAAAGCTGTTTGCAGTGCTGCGTGTGTGGAAGCGCCTTATCGCGTTCATGCTTCAGCAAGGACAGAAAACTCTACTGTAGAACCGACTACGAAAAGTAAGTCAGTACACTCTAGCAACACGACACGGTTAGAACACAAGCTGTCGCGTTTCTTCATGACATTTCATATTTTTGCTCACATTAAATATTCCTATAATTAATAGTTTTCTGCCTAAGTACCTAGATTACACGGCAGAAGGTCATTGCCAATTTCAAGGTATCGGTAATTTGGGAAATCTACAAGGCCTTTGGACCGTCTGCACCAGCACTCAAACGTCTTTGTCACGATTGTTGCTTGTTGCCTACAGTTGTTATGGACCGCTGGTTATTTTAATAAGGGTAATGCTTCTTCTAAACGTCTAGTAACTTTAATTAATCGCGATCTTAAATTTTCTGAAATGTCTGTAACGAGTAGTAGTTTTCGATTTTTTGATCACCACACAGCGACGGTCTAAATTTCTATTTACATCGTTGGTCTAAACATATACACGTTATGTATGCATCGGTCTCCTTTGAACATCTAAAGCAAAGGCCGCCCACAGATTTCGGAAAGTATGAATAATTATTGCGTTTTCTAACTTATTTTACCCTTTTAATATGATTAACATGTTGAATGGTACAGAATGATACTTATTTCTGAAATTTTAATTCTCGCGTAGTGGTGTTGTCAGATCTTGCGCTTTCTACAAGTAACAGTTTCGCTAGCAGGAAGTTCCTTTGAATGTGTTAATCAATCTTGCCTCTTTAAATGATAACTCTCTTCCGTTACTTGTAGTACGTTAGTGCCCGATTTTTTTCCTCTTCAATTTCGATAAGAGGTCTCTATAATGTCAGTTTGATATTTCTTTTGCTTATTTTTGTAATTGTCCGTTTCTATTATTATCATGCACTGTTTTCATGGATTACAACTACTGAAGGAACATTTAGAAGTTTAGGTCACTCGGTTTCATTTTACCAGCATCGCTGTAGTTCCACAAGAAACGATTCAGAACTTCAGCCGTTATCAGGACAAGTGAGAAAAGATACCATTAAACGGGAAAAAAATTGCAATTCTGTTTTTCTGCGATATTAATGATTTTTTTGCTTTGTTTTACCAATAATGTCCTTTTGTCTTGTTACATATTTGAATTAAAGAGAGATTGCTAAAGTGAGCATTCTACCGAAAAGCATTTTATCATCGTAACTCTTTCTATAAACTGAACAGTTAGAGTTACTTAAACTGCATAAAAGGCTTTTTCAATTGTCTCTATTTTACAGTAAACGAGTCCTGAATGCAACATTTAAATCATCTGAAAATATATTACTTCTTTAATAATAAAGTCTGGAAAATTATCACTAATCACGCTTTGAAAAGAAGAGTTGTTTTGCATACGACATTTTCCCCCTTGAAAAAGCTTTTTTTCATCTGCTCGTAAAATTGCTCGCCAGAAAATCAGTTAGCGGCGTAGTTTTTATTTTGATAATTGAATGTTTGCCCAGGAACGGATCTATTACCATTGTCAATCACACAAGGCCATTAAAGTGTTCTGGGGAAAGAGGTACTTCGATCAATACTTTGGCATCAAGGCTATTTGTTTCAACACAATATTATTGCCACTTTCAGTGCCTCAAGGCTGGGTTTCTGCTGCTACGTTCTTCAAAATAAAGCGACGTCACCTTGGAAATTTAAACTTAAAACGAAGCCGCCTTGTGGGTTATTTGTTTAAGAGAGTGTTAGCATATTCACTGATTTACTTTGAGCAAGACATCATTTCACGGATTTCTCTGTTCCTGTAGATGACAATCGAACAATCTGTCACGAAAAAACGAGAGGGTTGTTTCCAAAAAGGTCAAAATGAATTGGTTCGTGTGAAAAGCCATATTAACTGTTCAACACTTGTCTAGATTGGGAATTTTAAACATCAAAAGCGGCCATAAATTATCAGTAGGTAAAAACACACTTGGGTGAATTGAAGTCATCTGGCTTTCCAACTTTTCCGTACGCCTTTCCGTGGAGTAGGTGATGAATTTATCCGGAAATGTTGAATCGAAAGAAAACACTATAATTGCTTACAACAAGCTAGGACAAACATTACCACACGTGCTCACTTACTTTTCGAAATTCAACCTGTTGGTCTACCGTAAAAAGTCTTCATGAAAAACGTGGACAATTTCTTTGAATCAGGACTGCTGTTCACTGAATAGCCAAAAACTATACAAACAATACCACGATAAGCCCAACAAAAAGAGAAGGAACGATCAAAGAAATCCTAGCATGCTTTTTACTGGATGAGCAGAGTTTAAAATTCACCTTGTGACGCTTTGATTCTGATCAAAGGAAACCTGAATTATTCATAAAATCTTACACGGCTTTCGCAAACACATCTAGAGCTTAGAAATGATTCTTTTGTTGTTTGCTTCACAGAATTAAATGAAATTTTTCTGTTTTCTCGCTTTTTTTGCCAGTTGACGGCATCGGTAACGCTGTCAGTAACAGATGCTTTTTCTTGCTTAGATTGAAAGTATATTTCAAAGACAAACCACAGCTTCTTCTAGACAGGCTTTTAAAGATTTTAGGAATGCTTGAAACTAAAGATACAACCGAACATAACATAAAACTGCTTTATATTACTTTAGTTCTTAAGGAAATCAAAACAGGATATCTGTTTGTCCGAAACATGACCATTTTAAGATTTGCTAATGGCTTGCTATGGTCCTTGATATTTGTATCTGTCAACTATGTCGATAGCCAAGAAAAAATAGGGGAGCTTCAGGGGAAAACTATAGTTTTCAAGTATTACGTCAAGCAGTATTTGAATAAGAAGCCATCGAATGATAGCTTCTAACCAGCTTTCGAAGGCGACTGAGCCATTTTGATGCGCGTTTTCCTTTTCCTCCTGTAGAGTATTCGAGAATCAAGGCATGAACAGCATCGCTTTTAACTTTCATTTCTTCATATGTTACCAATTTAATAATTCTGTTCCGAGTAATCTGATAAAATATGCATTCGATTGCGAGTTGTGATTTCGTTATTTCAACTCTGAGATGCTTTTCGATCTCCAACTCTTCAAACGTAAGAGATAAAGTATTCTGACAGTCTTATTCAAAACCTTTTGTAGGTGAACCTGCTGGTCGGAAATGAGTAGATCTTTGCGCGAAACTAAAGAAATTCTGAAACAACTTGCACTATAACACGAAAAACCTAACTCAAACAATGCTAAAAGTGCTCGTGTTAGAGATGTTTCTTTGGTTGAACTGAGTTACTTATTTTCATTATATGACGCCAGTTCTCCTACAACAAGTTCTTGTAGCAAAACTCACCCTGTTTGCAGATTTTTGAATTCGTGGATTTAAACATTTACCTAAAATGTGATACTTAATTGTTACCAACGGTGGTTTTCTTTAACTGAGATTTTTAAATTACGTTCAAGCAGACATACTGTACAGGCCAGTGTCCAAAATTCACCGGAACCTATTTTCCAGTTCTTTCGAGGTTATCACTGCTGTTGTCTCTATTCCTTTGAGGTTTAAGTTACAGTGACCTTGTGATAGACCCATGGGTTATCGATCGCTAAAGATAGTTTTTTTCTAGCTCGTGAACGTGAACCCTAGTTTCTGATACTAAAGATAGCACTGAAATGTAGACTTTCGACTATGTTTGTTTGAGGAGCTTGTAGTTCAATTCTATAATTGAATCGACTCCCTGGGTTTGCAATCTTTTACTCTTGAGTACATTAAGTCTGAATCAAATTAACAGTAAAACGAACCGATTAAACATACAATCTTAACCGAAACAGCAATTTGGCTGGACTGTCGATCGGCAAATTGACAAGTCACCATCATTCCGGTTGTTTAGACTGGTAGATAACACACCTTGGAATCTTGGAGCTAAGGAGCCAAAGATACTTGGACTCAAAAGAATTATATTTATTGATACATATCAACAAATAAGACCTGGATTCGATTTAGTTAGTTTATTTCAAGCTTCTATAGCGTATTAAACGTTGATCTGACTTTTATGGAATGTACTGAAGAATATTGATAACTGTATTTTAGTAGTTTCCCGGACATCATCAGTTCATGCTGAAATGAAATCTACTTGTTGTTCGGAAACTCAGTTCTTGATGTATATTGTAGGCATGTGTACAAGTAACTTGAACAAAATGCCACCTAACCAGCAAACAAACACATAAAACTATTTTCAAAAGAGAGCCAAGGCCAACTGCATGCTGTATACTGAAGAGGGATTCGCCAAAAAAAGCCAAGTTTTCATTCTGGTTGCCACAATTTTCATATTGCTCAATTTTTGTTTACAAGTGGGGTTCCCTGATGCGAAGAACCGGTCGTTCACGCGACCTTTGCGTGTTTTGAGACGTTATCTATTACAAAAACCTTTCATCTGTTTAAGTAAATCTGTAAAGAGTTTTATGTACGGAGCAGCTTCCGAAAAGGAGGTTATTTAGAGCCCGTTTGAATCACAAGACAGCCAGTGATGCCAACGTAGATTAGATAAAGTTGGGTGCAGGCAGTCGTGGTCTTTTTGACGCCTAAAAATTGCTACTTCGCACTGCAACCCTGGTCTCCTGCAGTACGAAGTAGTTTCGTCGGAGTCAAGTTAAATATTTTTATTGCCTTTTTCCCTCATATTTTCGTATTTTTGGGATGCATTTTTAGAGAATTTGGAACAGCGGGCACTTGCGAGTGTCCACGACCACACAAGTATATTTTGCTCTTCACATGCGTTAAGAAGTAAATAATTATACACTCGTCAAATCGTCAGATCCAACAGTTTAGAATTTCTTTATCTTTTGGCAATTGATAGCCAGTACTAGTAGTACTGAGTGTTTACATGTATTCAGTGGGTCTATATCATTGATATTTTTGTTTCCAAAAGGGCGTTAAATGTCATTATGAAAGAGAATAGCGTTCTAATATTGAATTAACCTGCACTCCCATGTCTCTCAAAAAATTCTAGAAAATTCTAAAACTTTGTTTTGTGAAATATTATAAGACAAATGGTCCAGTACCATGTAATACTGCCGATGAGATTTCATTTGTGTGGTCACATCATAGAGTTTCGTTGGCAGACTCATAATTTTTTGTATTCATATCGGAGTTCGTAGTAAAACAAACAATACCGTGAAAAACGTTTTCTGCTTCATAAGTATTTTGACAGACTTAGTCCGGGAATGCCCTCTCCTTCTCAACGAAAAGCTTTATTTATTCGTCAAATAACATTCCGGCATTAGCTAGTGACATATTCTTGTTTTAGGCCTCTAGTCAGCACTGCTCCTAACTGAACACAACAGTACGATCAAGGTAAACCAAGGCCTGCTATATTTCACAAGCCTGTTTTCCATGTTTGCTATATTTCTTTTGAATGGACGAGAAATTTTGGAAAAAAAAACACGAGAGCCACAATGATTAAAACGCCTCCACTTGCAATGACTCGACAATCATCAACACAACTTAACGTTATGACTTCGGTTCACTGTGGATTTTACAACGGCCACAACGTGCTTTGCTGATATTAGTCAATAAAATTTGTTTTACTCTCTCTTCTTATACAGAAACAAGTCTCAGTATGGCTGTGACTTTATACCAAATTTTGAGGTTTCTCTTTTTCTTTCCAAATAACGACTAGTTTAACCAGTACAAGAAGAGCTAAGATTTCCTTAAAGGAATTTTTCAGTCGACTGAGAGCGACTTGACGTTAAGATACGACAAAAATCTTAAATTTGTTTTGAACGAACTGCGGAACGAATAACGAGAAAATGATAGTCTTACCGAAAAAGTTGCATTTGAATTTCTTGAATGATGGGCCATGTAGAATGGAAGGAGGCCGTGTTACGAGTTTTTGGTGTGCTTTTAAACCCAAACCGAAAAAAATTGGAAAATGGGAAAACCCTGAAAAATGGTTTACTGTTCTGCTTAAAATTACTTTACGATTCTGCCTAAACTGTGCAATAAATTATCCCTCTACTCTGCGTGTCTTGGGCTTTCGATAACCAGGATGGAAATGGATTGCCACTTTAAAAAATAGGGCTCACTGGCAACCCTTATGCTGTAGAAAATCCCCAAGCAGGTGCTCATGATCTAGCTTTGTTTGCAAGGTTCGCTTGGTAGCCATCCATTCGAGGTCCTAGCTTAAAAAAGACGACTGAGAATACTTAGTTTAATTGGCATAGCTCTCGTAAGACCAGATAAGAGTCACTAAAGCCTTTATGTTACACCGCATAACCCATTATTAACTTCTTCTTCTTCAAGTGAAGACCACTTTTGACCCTCTAATAAACGCTACTATGGAGCCAAACGAAATAGCTCTAACTAGCTGGGACTATTCAAATGAAACCTCTGTCAGTACTTCGTCTGAGTTGTTCATCAGTGGTGTTACAGTAGAAGATTTAAGATTTTGCTTACGCCGATTTTAAGTGCTTTCAGGGTGAAACGGGTCGGGTAATTTATTCGCAAAGAATCAAATCTCTCACTGCCTTATTGTAAGTTGCTTTAGAGAGATTACGATTTAAGAACTGAGAGTAGTACTCAAAAAATTTCTCATTCTAATGTGGCGAGTAAAGTGTAATCTATTTTAAGGCGTTTTCTTTTTTACTTCATCATAGTTGGTTTGGTTTATTTTGGAAACGGTGTAAATCATATCATGACAGTATATATTTTATTGCTGTAGTAATAGGGTATTCTATTACGTGACCGGCTTCCTTTTTTTTACATTTTAAGAGGTATTTCGGTTCATAGTATCAAAAATAGAGTGACCATATCACAATCTAAGTATCACTCAAAGGAGGATGGAAAAACATTATTTTAAATAAGTCTATTGAAAAGCTAATATGTTGACAGGAACAAAAATTTAGAAAGTGATATGAGCGTTTTGTTTACATAATTTGATAGTTCTTATTATATGTGCGAGGCGGTCACTTTTAAAAAAGCAGAGACTTATAAACAATGTTAAAAGATTAAGAGAAGGAGAGAAATTCTTCGAAATGACAAACCAGCAAAAAAATGCATTGAGCAGCAAGAAGGAAAATAACCAAGTTGGATCTGAGAATCTCACCTTACAGAATAAATCTTTTATGTTTGCTTTTCAAGGCAGGTTTGTCAACTCGTGGAAAATGAGATATATAAACGCAAATACAAAAACCTGCTCGTAGATATGGTATCTCAAGAGCTTATTTAACCAGCTGAACACGACAATAATTTCACTTATTATCTAAGTTTACGGAAACGTGGTCGAAGACAGGTTTGTTTAAAACACGTTAAACACACTATTGCTCTGTTTGCTATTCCAACTCGCTAATTTAAGATAACTGTTAACTACTTTATTTTGTCAAATATTCCTGAAAATACAGATAAAAACTCCGCGAAAATGGGAGAGATAAATCTTCACTAAGCTGTCTGGAGTTCTGTTGTTATAGTCTTTCTTCGAAGCACTTTCTATGTTAGCTTTTCATTTTAGTTCTGCCATTCGGTGTTCCATAGGTCAAGTAAATGACTCCGGCGAATTCTGACCGACGGACGACCGCTTATTTGACTTCTTTATAAATCTTTACTCCCTGAGGACATTTTATTCCCTTCTAACGTTTGACTCTGTGTAAGAAATCCTACAGTGTGACCATTCAAATGAAAACTCTCTAACAGCATTTTCTTTTGGCAATTTTTTAAGGCGTATTTCTGACTATTTGAGTCTTCGGATAACGGAGATATCACGTTGTGCGCTACTTTCCCTTACAAAAATAAAACCTCTTCAGCAATTCTTACATCTGGTACTATTTATTTAGTATGCAGTTTTAATTTTGACGTCCTCGGGCGAAATATAGCTTCGGTTAGCAAAACTCCTTTCGCGCGCTACTCTGCACAAATGGAGAGTTTGCTCGCAGGCTGGAAGAAATACGATGGTGCCACCATTCAAATGAACCATTTGGTGTTCTTTCACATCTGGCAATGTGGCATTCGTGGATGAAAACCTGTGTTGTGACCCAAGGGGGTACTCCCATACATTACCTATACGGGTATGTGCCGCCCAACGGGGTCGTGATTTTGAAGCTTCCTGATTTAGAACGGGGTATCCATTTCGGAGGCGTTTTCTAGAACGGGGTATAATACTTCAAACGCATGAAAGCTTCAATTTTGTAAGCAGCCATTTGGAATTATTCAAGGACAGATTGCTTTTAAAAATACGGTTCAATGCGTTAACAAGCAAACTGTTTTACTCTTGTTGCACCCTAGAACGGAGTATAAAAAAATTGGCCCATTTCTAGAACGGGGTACCAGTTTTAGGGCGAATTCTAGAACGGGGTATAAAAAATTGGCCCATTTCTAGAATGGGGTTTTAGAACGGGGTGCCAATTTGGAGTCCCGGGCGGCACATACCCACCCAAAAAATACCCAAGTGCCCCCCCCCCCCCCCCGGGAGTTGTGACCACTGATATGAAATCTCTTTGGTCATACTTTTGCTTTGTGTCTTCAATTTCTGTATTTTTCAAAAGGAAATTTCTTTAGTTTTAACTCTGACAATTGTATCACCGTACAAAATGGCACAGACGTTGTTACTTATCACGTGTCTGATGGTAACAGGACCTCACCGTGGTTAGAGTGGTCTCACGTTAACTCTGAGTTCGATTTCTAGGTTGCGCAAGCTGGTCTAACTCTCTCCGACCTTTTCGGTTGAGACACTTAAGTTCTTCTGTTGAATTTGAGTTTGGCGCACCATTAAACCAGCTGAACATCAATCTGTTGGACTGACACAACTTTCTCAAACCACTGTAATACATTTACCTCAATAAGGGTTTTATTTGGAATGCTTTTCAGTCCACGGGTGTCCAAAAGATACGCACCGGACGGTCAAACCAAATCCAATCGTGAAACCGAGAAAGAGACGTGCTCGTCTCCAACCTCCCACATTGAAGTAAACGCTCCCGGCTGCCGTGTCTGACTCGACCTCAGCAGCTCCGAGTCGTAATCGCTTACTTCGGATATTTTAGTTTATTATTGAGGAGACCGTGCGACAAAAGAGAGAGAGCGTTTGTCTCCAGTGCCCCACATGGAAGTAACCGCTCCCGGCTTCCTGGTCTGACTCGACCTCAGCTGCACGCAAATGGTTATTTGGGTATACAGTAATACGGTATTTTAGATAACTACTGAGGAAGGAGGGCGCCAAGAGAGAGAGAGAAAGGCGCGCTCGTCTCCAACACCCCACATTAAAGTTAATCCTCCCTGCTGCCCTAGCCTTGGGGAAGCCTTTGAAGGAGGCAGCTACCTCGACGTAATTGGAACTGTAACCCTTATCCACCCAATATTCCCAAATAATGGAGATTGCACGACACCTTTTTGTTTTGTCCTCAGCATGCATTGCTCGATAATCTGCTTGTATGAGTAACACTTATCCATGATTTCTATGACTTTTTGCTCTTACAGGACGTATGGAACAAAGTGCAGTGGCTGCAAGACAACAATACCAGCAAATGAGTTCGTGATGCGGGCTTTAGGAAATGTGTATCACATACAATGCTTCGTTTGTACTATGTGCGGACACCGGCTTGAAAAAGGCCAGGAATTTGCACTGAAAGATAACAATTTATATTGTAAAGAGGACTATGGAAAGATACCGATTAAAGGACCAGCCAACAGCCCACCTCACAAACAACAACAAGAAAGTGAGTTAAACTTCGATGATGATGTTCTTTCCTTTTCATTGTTGTTGTTTTTCCGAGGGTTAAGAGTAACTGAACAGTTTCAATTGACCACTCCAGAAATTGTCATAACATACCATAATGCTCTTTGTTTGTCACGCCAAAATTTTGCATAAGCATTGTCTTCAGTTTATCTTGGGAATTAAAATGGCCCCAAGACAAACTGAAAACAATGCTTATTCAAATTTTTGGGGTGACAAACAAAGAGCATCATGGTATGTTATGTTATTTTCTGGAGTAGTCAACATTTCCGGCGACAAATCACCATATTTCCCTTGCCTCATGTAAGGGAATCCAAGACAGTCTTGGATTCTGGATTCCACACCTGGATTCCAGATTCTGGGCACTGGATTCCAGCCTCCAATCATTAGCAGGATTCCAGATTCTTTGAGCTGTATTCCAGGGATACCAGATTCCACTAGCAAAATTTCCCAGATTCCAGATTTCACGAGCAAAAATTTCCTGGATTCCCGGATCTCTTACATAGAGCAATTTCCCCTTTGAAACATCAAGAGTCCTATGTAAGCTTGCATCAAATAAATGAACTAAAACGAGTAAAAGTTATCAGTAAAGTATAAATACCGTCACCTGGTGTCATTGTCTTTCTTTCTACCAGGTTTCAGCCCAATTTGAGCACTAAAACATCATCTTAACCTGACAGTGACTTGACATGTGTAATGGAAAGGGATTTTCTCTTACCATTACACAGTCAGGTTAGGTAATGTCAGTGCTCAAGTTGTGCTGACCCTTGATGAAAGAAAAACAATGACACCAGGTAACAATATTGAAATGTTATTGATAACTTTTACCCGTTTTAGTTCATCTATTCCGTGTAAGCTATATTTCCCATAAAAACTCTCATATTTCGCTTGGGTCACCTGTGCTCAGCCCAGATTTTCTAGGTTCTTAGGTGAGCCACCAAAAGAGTTCCCTTTTTTGCACATCCCGTACAGAGGAGTATTTTTAATTAGTAAAATCCAACTTAGTGGTCTATTATCAATGCTATGTTCTGATTGGTTGAGCTACTACTAGGCTATATGTTATAGCCCACTAATAGCAAAAAGCGCCGGCTTTGAAAACCAAAACAATGGCGACTGCATCACGTTTTGCTGGCTAAAGTTGTTTTGTCTCTATATTTTTGACCAACTAGTTGGATTTTACTAAAACAATTATTCCTTTCATCCCCCTGGGCTATTGCGGGCTCGAGGAATAATTTGTTAAATACAACTTTTCAACCTTAACTGTTTCTCCCTTGACCAAGCATTGTAGCCTTATCTTTTTCTATTTTTGACCCTAATCAAGCCAGCTACAACCCTGTACAAAATGTCCTTTGGACAGTGTTACAATATTCATAATTCTGTTAAAGGTTTGAACCCAGGAGTCATTTTATAGGTTAAGTATGATCATGTGGGTCATCATAGTCTTGAGTGAGACTGTTGTTGACAGAGACGGATGTTTCAACAACCTGTGTGGTAGTCATCAATCAGGTCAATAACCAGAGGTTAATATTATCAACTGATCTGACGAACCTCACTTTAAATATGAAGTTCACTACCACACAGGTTGTCAAAACATTAGTCGCTGTCAACAACAGTCCTATTCAGGACTACGATCACCTGGATGTTGATGCTTCACCTACTTATAAATATTTGTAATTAGCTGTAATTTCTGGGTGCCCTCACAAAAGAGGGCTACTTTTTGAAAATACCTTTCCATTCTTCTTCAGGCTCCCACATGATATAGTGTGGAAACTGTTGAAAAATTCTGGATACACCCATCTTATGTTGTTTGTGAGGTGGGGAAAGGGGCTGGGCATGTGTAATTCAAAAAGAGCCCCACAAATGCAAATTTAACACAATTGCTTGGCCCTTTTTTCCGCCTTTGTATAATCCTAATATTTATACGACATACCGTGTACAACTTGGTCCAGAGCAACTTACTAGTTATGCTCTTTTTTCCTTTTACTTGTTTCTTTGCAGATGTTATCAATAACATTTTAAAGACTGAAAAAGAAACCAAATCAGAGAAAGCTGACAACTCAGATTCGGATGATTCTTCAGTAATAGCTGATGATGAAAATGACGATAAAAAAGGACCAAAACGACCAAGAACAATACTCACGAGTCAACAAAGAAAAATATTTAAATCGGCATTTGAAATAAGCTCCAAGCCTTGTAGAAAGGTAAGAAATTAAGTGGAAACGCTTATTTAAATTGCCTTGCGTAACTTGTATCTGATACGACCACTTGATTCTTTTCTTGTTTCTGCGGTGCCGTTAATCACTCTAAAATATATGTGAATTTCACTTCACGGTACTCTATGTGCAGTAAAGTTTAGGCAGCTTTCTAAGTCGTGAAACAAATAGCCTGCGTAACGCAGGCTACAAAATGATTTAGGGTGCTAAGGGTCACAAACTTTAGCTTCGCCGTCCCCTCAAAATTCAGTCTACTCAGATGTGTATTAAAAAAAGACACGTTCTCACAACTGGAGTCTTGTTCTTGGATAAGTCTTAAAAATGCCAAAGAAATGAAATGCAGTTCAAAAAGTGCAAAAATATGCACACTCGACTCACCTGCGAAGCGTGACGAATCCAACGAAAGAAGAAGCTTGGTAACCGCGTCTGGATTAGTAGAGCCCAGTCTCGGTCTTTCTCGAAAGTCCCGCCCGATAATGGGCATGGAAAGCTGTCATTCAATGGATAATTAATTGTGTAGTTCGGCAGATAACATTATTAAACTATCAGTTAACAAAACACAATGAACGGGTTTGTTAGCTAGTACCTGTCCGTTTTTTCTTTAAATTTTGATTTGAAGATTTGATTTCGGGCCCGACTTTCGAGGAACAGACCTCTTGGAGTGCTGCCCTTTGCTTTCTCCAAAAGCCGTTAAAGTATTTTCGGCGTTCCCAGCATGAAACATACAACGTGTAGGGTCGTAGTATTTCTTGCTCCCTCCTTTAACGACAGGTTCTCCCCGATATATCATTATTCAATTTGCTATTACTCTATAATTTGTAAATTAAAGGTTAGAGAGGAACTTTCAAGAGAAACAGGACTTAGTGTTCGCGTCGTCCAAGTCTGGTTTCAAAATCAGAGAGCGAAGGTAACTATGATAATTACAGTCCTTTACTTTCGATAGAGGATGGCCTGCCTGTTTGAAACATTTTACTTATAACAAGGAGCTTTTTCCCGTTGTTTTCTCTCACATGTTAGACTTTCAAGGAAGAAATAGTGAAGGAAGGAATTACTGAATGAATGAATGATGCCCTGATATAATACACTGTTATAAAAGAAGCTCTTACACATTTGAAAACGTTATTAATTTTATACTTCGGTCTTTAGTCAATAATTATACAATTGTAAATAATTTTTATCAATTCTATTTTAATTCTTTTAATTCTGTCTCCATTTAGTTGCCGTTCCTCTACTGCTATTTTTATAGTTTGAAACTTAAAATTGACTGATTCATTCATTCATTTATTTATTCATTCTTAATGTGATGGGTGGATAAGGGGTAACATTTTGACTACTTATTACAAATGGGACAAGACAAAACCATGTCAGATTATTTGCGTATCCGTTAGTACAGTATTCTACTCGAGTATACCAGCTACCCATTTTGGAAAAATAATGTGAAGAAAGGTAAAAAATTGTTGTTCTTGACTTGTTTTTCAGATAAAGAAGCTTGCGAGAAGAAACAACCCTGAATCGGACGGAGCTGCTAGCTGTAGAGTAAGCAACCGGCAAAGAAGTCTTAAAAAGACTAAAGACGGCAAATGTAGGTTTATTTGATATTTGAAGGCTACATTGCAGGCGTTTTCTTGGGGTGCTCGAGCTCTAGCCACCTCGTCCCCAGGGCGCTTTTCCCTGGCTTTGGAGGTCGGGCGGCCCACTCCCAAAGCCAGGGAACCGCCCTGGGGACGAGGTTGGAGCTCTAGATTTCGCTTGGATTGTAGTCCCGTTTCTCTTTCTGCTCAAAAGCAACATCTAAAACTTCATGAATATGCTACCACTCAATCGTTTATTAATCGGTTCATTTATTGATTTACAGTCAAAGCTCCCGTAAGCGACCAAATTAAATGCGTAGGTTCAGTGGTCGCATACGGAAGGTGGTCGCTTACGTGAATTGACCCACAGGGGGTCGCTTCCCAAAATAGGCCCGGACACATCTGAAATTTGGGAGAGAATTCATTATATGCATTTTCTAATAAGTTATGATATGTGCAGTTTCATGTTCAGCACCAAACGTACATCGCATTATCTTAGAAGTGTAGTACAAACAACAACCCGCCGGCTACATGATAGAGATCAAACCATGTCTTAAGTGGATAGCTAAGGGGAAAAGTTTGAAGCTGTTTTCCAAAAAAGTGGTTGCGGTCTCTTACTAGCTAGAGGGGGTCTTTTACGAGAGGTTCAAACTAAAGTGATTTTACTGGGGAACTTTTGGTGTTTTGAGAGGTGTTCGCTTACGAAAGGTGGTCGGACGTGGAGGTTCGACTTTATTTATTTATTTGTTTATTCATTCATCTTTCTATTTACCTTTCATTTAGCATCAAGTCCAAGAGACAAAAGGCGGGCTGACAGAGACAGTTTGGACCTTCCGCCTTCGCTTTCCCCTCCCCCTCAGCTACCAGGATCCCAGCCCCCTCCTTATGGAATGCTTCCTCCTCAATACCAACATTTACAAAATCATATGGGACCAATGATGGCGCCACCGCAGTTCCAACCACAGTACCAACCACCGCTTAACCACATAGACTCCGGGGAAATTCCTATGGAACATGGAATTCAGGGTATCGATGAATGCATGATGCGACCGCAGCAGTTTAACCCCGCGGATATAGGCGGATACCCTACGACTACAAATCACAATGGTCAGAATCACTTAGAACTTATGCATGACATGATTAATTCATTTTAATTTATTATAATTGATTCAGAGGAAACAATATATTATGCGGCGGCTTTAGAAGGTCACTGTTTCTCACATGAGGCTTGGTCCTTGGATAAGTGACCAGAGATTACAGCTGAAAAAATAAAATCTTTGTTGCATGGTGTTCCAAAACAACAAAACCATAATAGGTTAGATTTTATTTCTGTTCTCAATAGAAATCATTTGCTTGTTAAGCACTGTTCTCGGCCGCAGGACGCGGTAAAAGCGATATTTCGATAATTATGAATGTTGCAGCTCTGATAGAAATAACATTATGTGACTGATAAAGTTTTTATTTATTTATTATTTATATTTTTTTTATCTATTTGAATACTCTAAGGTCATCTTTTTTGACAGAAAAATGAACTTCTCAGTGCATGCTCATTTTCAGTAACACCATGTCTGGGTTTCATTTTAAAACTTTACTGTAATTGTACACCCTCTTAGCTAGCTCTTTGAAGCTGTTCTACGAAAATAGACTCCGTGAATGTGTCTAAAAATTGAACGTCGAATAGAAGCTAAAACTTCCCGAAAACGAAACAAATTCCATCTTGTAATTTCCAGTCTTTGATATGATGTCATTTATTAGCCCTAAAGAAAAAACAACTGGAGGTCTTCTCGCACTAACTTCTGGCATACTAGAACAGTATTTTTGGCCAAAGAACTACCGTAGCTAATCGAGTAGAACGTAGTTTTTTGAAACCTCATTCTCCTGTTAGGTTCGTCTTTCCTGTTTGACTTTGTCATAGCAACATGTAACTAAGCAACAACTCGCAATTTCCATGCAAATTGGTTCGTATTGGACTGAAGTACGGCGCGGACAGCGTCGAATAAAAATTGATCTAAAGACTAAAATAAGGTAAATTATTCCATTTTTAATGGTACTGCTGGCGATAAGCGTTTTCTATATTAGTATTGAGTTATTTTTGTTTGCAATGTTAAATTCAAAGATGATACATCTCAAATCACCAACGTCTAAACCTGGTGGATTTTAGTGGTGTAAGAATTTTAAGTAAGTTTCATGTTTCGTTCATCTTTCTAATGCAGCTATAGACTTACCAGGCAGAGTTGTAAACGTAATTATTCTTACTAAAAAAATGAATTGAAGTGAGTTTGTTGCTATGTTTTTTTTCTTAGCCTGACGAACGAAATTTGTTCATCAGTTATATCACGAGACTCGGATCAATCCACTTAAAGATGTTTTTCTATACATTTCTTTATAAAACTTCTACTATTTTCCTTCAAATGCTTAGTTGTCAGTTCAGATGTTCAGTCACATAAACTTTCTAAACTTTAACTAACCACCAAAAAGGACATGTCAGTAAAATGTTGACTTAGTAGTTCAGCTGATAAAGGAAGATTTTTCTAAAACAACCTCCCTAATGTAAAGAATTATTTAATTTGTTCCAGATTCCGACGAGGCAGCTTCGCATTGGTTCAACCTTTACTTATAGCAGTTAACAGAAGTAAACACTAATTTTGAAATTTAAAAATTGCCAGTAAGGTCACCAGGTGGAAATTTGACGTGAGTGAACGTGGGAAAATGAGACTGTGTCACAAAAATATCTTATATATCATCAACTTAGTTTCGTACAATATCTTGGGTACACCATCGCATTCTAGTTAAAAACTATAGAATCAACTCGTGCAATAAGATGAATTCACTAGTCACATTCACTTTTAGCAAATACCCTCGTTAAGCATTTTATTACAAGCTGAGAAGTTAAAAGCCAAACTAAAACTATACAGCACACTCCACATTATCAAAGGAATTCTTTTCTTGACAGCTTTATTTTATTGAACACTAATTATAAGGATTTCATGACAGGCGCAAATACCAGAGTTCGTCTCTTGAATATCGTAACGTTTTAAGTCTTTGATTTGTCATGCATTGCAGTATTTTCGACAAAACCACTTTGTAACGCGTTTTTAAAAAACAGAGGTGAAAGTCAATTCTGAAAATGGTAACATGTAGGGATTTAATCCACGAACCTTGGCTCCGCCGGAAATGACACTACTTTTTTTGTTCAAAACTGAGTTCAATTTTCTAAATGTTTCATGTCTTATGAGGATTTCAAGAAAATTATTTGAAAGCGAGTTGCTTTAATAGTAGAATTTCGTATTAGCGAAGCTATGCTTTAGTACTAGTAGTAGTGATTAATGTTTTTCGTCCCGTGCTTGAAATACTAGTTAGTTCTCTTTTCTAAGTATCCATGTTTGTTTACGAAATGCGTTGTTTTATGACGTTACGATTTAGCAACCGTAAAACCTGTGACAATAGAGAGATTTAGAGTCGCGTTTACGGAAAATAGCAAACGAGAATTTGTACCACGTGACCAAGTTTTCCCTTTAAATTCCTTTTACTGCTTCACATTAGTTTTATCCATAAGAATTGTTTTAGACTGTTTTCATCTGCTCATTTTCTACCCCGAGAATTTCTCAACTGAAATTTGGAGTACTAACGCCGTATATACCGTAAGCGTGACTCTCAATCTCTCTACTGACTGATTCTCTCACGATCTGAAGAACTGAATATTAATCGCTTCTAAGAAAAAAGAGTTAGTAAAGAGGTCTGAAATCTTACGTGCTTTTATCTTCTTATTTATTAACGTTCCTATCAATGACGTCCTAATTCTAAAGGCCTCTATCAAAATACAAAACCTACCTAGCGATAAAAATAGTCTCGTTTTCAAGAAATGAAGATATACTTAATTATATTACATCATCATGCATAATTTAAATAGCAATGGCCGCCTATACTAGTTGTATGATAAATATTATTGTCAAAGGTGTGTAAATATTATTCATAAGATAGCAAGTGAGCCTTAATTCCTTGCGTAAGGCCGTACAGTGTACAGAATAATCAAAGATTCCAAAATAAAATAGAGTTCAAATGTTCTACTCGAGCAATGGCTGTTGTTTTTAAGTCTCATGAATAAAACTAACTAAATTCTTCTACTAAAGATGCTACAGCTTGTCCACCAAAACGATACCAGAAATTTATCGTGTACCCTAACGTTTGTATCCATTTTCCCAACAGTTTATAGAGTGGCGAGTTTTTTCCCGACAAAACATTTTTCCCTAACCACGTAATACTGCAACCAAGAAGAGCTTCAGCTTAAAATCTGGAATCCGCTCTCCCCAAAGAGAGTTATAAAACGGCAGAACCCGAATGAACTCTTATTGGTATAAAATTACATTGGTAGATGTACGATATATCTGAGATATACAAAGCAAATTACACAGCGAACTTCATACTGGCTAAAAGTAACAAGCAAATAAAGCTTTAAAAATTCGAGGGGGTGGGGGGTGGGTTAGGGCTTATAAGCGGTGTCTACGGTATGTAAGGAAAAGGTTTCTGCTACCTTAGCAGTAAAGGGTTTTTAAAGCTATGCCATGCTGGTGATACCTAACAAAGACAATACAGCTTTTCATGGCAGCCTCGCGCCAGTCATTCTCGTCCCCTAGCGGAGGAGGGAGGGGGTCTTGAATTGCGATCCTTTTGGCCAGTGCTTGCAACAGCCCGAGGACTCTGGCTGAGATCAGGATAGCGTGTAAGCGTAGTGACTCTTTTTGGAAACGTTGGAAATTGTTTCATTTTTCCAAGGCTGCGCAAAGCTAGAAATTTTGCACACTCCCGGCTTCGGCCCTCGCCAAAGCTCCCGATCCTTGCTTATCCCTGCCGAGGAGACGGGAATGCTCCATTCTCATCCTTAGAGCAATTCGGCTTAATTTGTAACCGACCCCTCGTTTCAAGACAAAGTGACCAAAAACGGCGGTTTCTAGGGACGAGAATGGGAATGGTCGCTTGTGTTTAACGCTTGTGTGACATAGCACACGCTGCACATGCGTATAACGTGCCACGGTGTTGGGCAATTCTCATTCTCTTCTCCAGAGCCACTCGGTTTTAATACCACGTGACCAAAAGAAACGATGGGTTCTGGAGACGAGAATGGTCACTTTTTTTTGTTTCTAGCCGAGGGCCACGATTCTTTGCCCCAGTTGTACTCGTGGCGCTGAACAAAATGATCGCTGCTCTGGGGACGAGAATCGTTTGAAGACTGTGACCCTTAGGCATCCCTGACTTTCTCGTGTGAGATTACTTGAGAGAAAAAGGCGCTCACGTACGTACGAGAAAACGAGATATGCACCACTGGTTAAGTAGTTTTGTTGTGATTTTCTGTATGGGAAATATTGAACTGTACATGGAGGTCTACTATGGGCAGAACTAAGCACAGCGACCACTTACATTGAGGCCCCGTCCACACGTATCCGGAGATTTTTGTATCCGAAAATTTTTTTATGCGGATTTAAAAATATCTGCGTCCACACGTAGCGTATACGAATCGTATACGACCGTCCACACGTATCCGATTCGTATCCGGACATCTCAAAGGATTAGTCAACAGAGCATGCGCATTAGGGGGGGGGGGTGGGTTAGGGCTTATAAGCGGTGTCTACGGTATGTAAGGAAAAGGTTTCTGCTGGGCTTTTAAAGCTATGCCATGCTGGTGATACCTAACAAAGACAATACAGCTTTTCATGGCAGCCTCGCGCCAGTCATTCTCGTCCCCTAGCGGGGGAGGGAGGGGGTTTGCGATCCTGTTGGCCAGTGCGTTCAACAGACCGAGGACTCTGGCTAGGCTAGGCTGAGATCAGGATAGCGCGTAAGCGTAGTGACTCTTTTTGGAAAAGTTGGAAATTGTTTCATTTTTCCAAGGCTGCGCAAAGCTAGAAATTTTGCGCACTCCCGGCTTCAGCCCTAGCCAAAGCTCCCGATTCTTGCTTGTCCCCGCCGAGAGACGGGAATGCTCCATTCTCATCCTTAGAGCAATTCGGCTTAATTTGTAACCGACCCCTCGTTTCAAGACAAAGTGACCAAAAACGGCGGTTTTTGGGGACGAGAATGGGAATGCTCACTTGTGTTTAACGCTTGTCTGACATAGCGCACGCTGCACATGCGTATAACGTGCCACGGTGTTGGGCAATTCTCATTCTCGTCTCCAGAGCCACTCGGTTTTAATACCACGTGACCAAAAGAAACGATGGGTTCTGGGGACGAGAATGGTCACTTTTTTTTGTTTCTAGCCGAGGGCCACGATTCTTTGCACCAGCTGTACTCGTGGCGCTGAACAAATGATCGCCGCTTTAGCGACGAGAATCTGTTGAAGACTGTGACCCTTAGGCATCCCTGGCTTTCTCGTGTGAGATTACTTGAGAGAAAAAGGTGCTCACGTACCTACGTGAAAACGAGATATGCACCACTGGTTAAGTAGTTTTGTTGTGATTTTCTGTATGGGAAATATTGAACTGTACATGGAGGTCTACTATGGGCAGAACTAAGCACAGCGACCACTTACATTGAAATACATGACATGCTAATTGTCTAGCTAAAACAGTGAGCTGACGGTAGGTGGGGGCGAGTTGTTGCGCCATATTTTCGTGGGAGCAGCGTAGTGCCACGACAAGAGACTGTTTACTCCAACGTCGGATATGCGTTCAAAGCAAAATAAAGTAAGAGCTTTTAGTGAAATATGATCAAATTTAATTCATCAAATTATCAGACAATTAATTACACAATACACCGTTGCAATGTAAATAAACCAACTATGTTAACTTCAACGATTGTGGGCCGTTTGATGATCAACTCACCAGATTTTAGAAAGGTGGAATATAAGGTACTGAAACGTTTTGATCCGCGCATGCCGTGTACTTATTACCTAAGTTTTCTCTCACTAAACAAGGATAGCTGTAACTGAAACAAATAAGGCTTTGTCCCATACAGCTAGGTGATAATCAACTCACTTACGTTAATTTTTCTTAAACAACTTTAAAGAGCGTCGGTACTCTATGTACACTGCAACAAGAAATTTCGGTTCTAGATCTTTACACTGGAATAATTAATAAACAGTTGAAACTGCACTTATCGTACTTACGAGATGTTTCTTTTTCAATCAAGATAGGTGAGAGACTTAATGATAGATGAGAGTTAATTCAGTCGAACCTCCACTAACGTCAACCTCTCTACAAAGGCAACTTTTCTGGCGGACAGTCCATAATTAATACCCGTTTAAACCTCTCAACAAAGGCCACCTCTCTGCAAGGTCTCCTTAAGGTGGCCGTTATTTGCTGGATTTGAAGGCTGAATGATTTCTAGGCAGTCTACATTCTGCGTCTCATTTACCACTGTTTCTCAACTTTTTAACTCCCAAGAAATTACGGTCATCTTTTCCACGCCATCAATGTGTAGGTTTCGATATGTACCAGTTATTACAGAAAAAAGAACAGTATTTTCTTTCCGTGTTATGAGCAATTCCTTTTGTACGTTTTCCAATCACAGTTGTGCTACCTTCGAACTCCCAACAAATATTACAGAGAGAATGGAAGCCATTTGAGAGAATACATATATCAGGCATCAACATAAACCCAAGGCAGGCCAATTTTGAGTACTGCAAGCTCCTTTACATCTTACTGCAACCAGCCTTTTACATAAGTGACATCCACTTCGAACTGTTGTCATTTCACAACAAAATGTACCAAGCAGTACTGTTTCTCCTTGCACGGTTCAGTGACAAGCTGAATTATATAAAGAGATATTTATTACTTAATTTTTCACAAAATACTCTCAGATGTTAAAAATTGTTTCCACCTATTATTTTACACTGATATATTGCATTCCAAAATTTATACATTTTGTACAAAGATAAATTGAAGGAACGCCGCAAATAAGACTTCTTAATTACTGGTACAGCAAAGAAATGCAAGAACTCGTCTTTTCAATTGTTACTTGAGGTAATTCCACTGAGATATTTCAGAGAAATACTGATGAGTAATGAAATCACGTTAACACGCGGCGACAGGATACCAAGACATTCTACAGGGGCACCGAACGACCGTTTTCTAGAAAATATCTGTTCGGAGCTCTCTAGAACGCCTGAAATGTTCGATACCTCCAGAAGCGACAAACGTATTCTACAGATGACGTTCCTTCTCCTTAGTCGACTCCTAATAAAATTAGAAAACTCTTAAACAAGTGACCAGGGGCATAACCATTTGATCCAGGGACGCAGGGATCTATTACGGGTAAGTGGTACCGTAGAATGTCTGTACAGCAAGGATAAGTTATTGTAACACACTGATGGCCTCTATGTCTTGATACCATGTCTTGGCTTGTAGTAAAGTTACAATCTAGTTCCAACAGTTACGCTTTCCCTATGGCAGAAGGAGCAGAGTGAACTTTACTTGATGCCTCACGTACGATTACTTTACGTATAGGATTACAGTTTTCTCAAAAGTAACGATTGGAGGCTTCTATTATTAATAACAGAACCTAACATTTCTTTCTCTACATATACCACCAGGCTCCTTGATTTATCACTTTCTTGTAACATTTTGATTCAAATTTATGGTCGCTATAAAGAGCTGGCACTGAATTCCAGGAAAATTGATACAATATTTATTTAAAGTCGCACGCACAGTACAAGAGAATGATGAATGCGATTTAATAAACAACGTGGAATTCAGTGCCTGCCCTCTTACAATCGCACATAGTTTATTATTGTTAGACTGGCGGCCCATTAATTCCAGGATGTAAAAAGTGACACGTGGCTCCTCTGAGGCAGCCTCGCTTTGAAATAAAGTGTCGACAAAGGGGAGGTGTTCCTCGACCACGGGCTCTTCCACGCCCTCGGCCACGCAGCATTCCTCGTCCTCTACCGCGCATGCTCATGTCTCCGAGCTCGCCTTCTTCATCTTCGTCTCCATACTCTCCTCCATCATCAAATTGATCTGGGGGAAATTCGTCACGGTTGGCCTGGGAATGAATAAAGTAACCTTGCTATTACAAATCTATTTCTTCCTTTTTGAACGAAGAGGGGATATTAGCCACCAAGAAGGCCTTGCCAACGCCCTAAGACTCCCTCCCTGATCCGTTTAATCTCTCTTGTGACCACTCATTGTTGATAAACACGGGATAGTTACCTGATGTAACGGCAAAGGAAAGGGCTTGATGCAAGAACGTTTTATCGGGCGGGGTTTACGAAGCTATGTTAGGGTCATTTGAGCAGACGCCTATGATGAAGTCAGTTGTTGTTGTTTTTCTTTCATTGTACAAAGTAATCTTATTTGTTATTGGTGTTGTACGTCTGTCCGAGTCACAACTTACCATTTCTGGCAGAAGTGGCCTCGGTCCTCTTCCAACACCGGGTCCACCTTGCATTCGAGGCGGCATAAGGCCCCTCATTCGTACTCCCATCATTGGCCCTTCAGGACCAGGGAAAAGAGGCCCAATAGGGGGTCCTTGTCTGGGACCTCCAGGACCCTGAAAATGAGGAGCCATATCGGGTCTTAGATGCGGGCCTTGCACACCTCTGGGGCCCATTGGACCAGGCGGTCTAAAGGTATTCAGCATTCCGCTTGGGTCGCCAGGCGCTAAAATAAACAAACAAATACACAGTTAACATTCAGCCTATAAAAAACTGTGCAACATGATCGCAATTATAATACGTACTGATAGGGTTCACATACAAGTAAACCTTCTCGCATTCATCGCAAGACGTCACGATCTAACAGTGAAGTGAGGTTTAACAGGGCTCGATAAACACTTGAATTCCAGCTTGAACTTTGGGCAAGCAGCTCTAACATTCTGCTTACCCGGGGCCACTTCTTGGTCGTCTAAGTTAAAGATTTAGTAAGAAGATGGCTTGCCCTTGCCCATTGTGAGCCAGTTGCTTGCCCAGCAAGAAAATCTACTAATCCCGGACTACCGGACGGGATTTTTTTTCGAGCCCTGAGTGGGAAATCTCCAAGATGGCGTGCATTTCTCGCGTACTAGGCGGACATCTCGCTTTTATCATGAGAATTGTTTAACGCCTTTATGTGCACTATCTGGCGAAAGATACTTTCCACCATTTTAAACCCTTGTTTTTACACAAAATAGTTTTCGTTTACCACTTTTGATCCAGGGAAAATCTACCTCTCTTCTTATAAACAGGGCTAACTTTGACTTACACCATGGTGTATCTATCAACATTTGGGTTCACGAACCTCGTTTTACGCTATATGATGAGGGAGGAGTGCCACTTATATCACTGATATACTCAGCAGTCCAGTTTCTAGTCCTTTACCTGTTGTGAGTAGTTTAGTCTAGTTTAAGTGAAATTCAAAGAGAACGGTTGATCACTTACCAGCCCCAAGCAATCCTGCCCCCATGCCAGGACCCATGGCAGGACCCTGCATCCTTGGAGGGCCCATTTTATTCTGCTGCAGAGGTTCCAGGATCTGTTTAAGGGCATTGGGTAGGGCTGCACCTCCTGCCTCATTGTGAAGCTGAGGCTGAGAATTGGATGGCGCAGAAGACATACTACCCGGTTGAGAGGGTTTCTGAAATCACAGAATACGATCAGTGTGTTAAGATAACACAGTGGAAAAAACAAACAAGCGTAACAATACTTTGAGCCACATCTAATCAGCAATCAGGGAAAAAAGGAAGAAGGATCGGCTAATCGCAGGTGAAAGCACTTCTAGCCTGCGTCGAAGACGTACTCTAACCCCGGTTGGTAACGTCTGCGAAGCAGAGCCGATATCCTTGTTCTGGGCCACTACTGGGCCCCCAAAAGACTCAACCAATCACCGGAAATGCGTTCGAATTTCCCTTTAACTTGACTGGCAAATAAGTCATGACATTTTTAACAGGCCAATCATGGTGCGTACTCAAATCCTGGAGCACAAATGGAGGGCCCAGAACAAGACAGACAGACTTAACCAGGGCCAAGTTGTTCAAAAGGTGGATAACGCTCTCAACTGGATAAATATTTAACTTAACATAGATAGCACAAGTAGTTTCCCTAATGTTTATCCAGTGGATAGTGATTTATCCGGTGGATAGCGCTATCCAACGTATGAACAACCCAGACCCGGAGTTTAGTTCCGTCTGTGGCGCAGGCTAAACCACTTCGAGTTTCCCCTGTTTTGATGTAAGATGCAGCGATTTATTAAAATGCAAGCCATTTAACATTGCAAATACGTTAAACGAGCTTTATGACATAGCTGTTAGACACGGCACACATGACTGTGTGGACCGTTTAGATTGAAATACTTAATTGAATGAAAAATGATCTACACGGTGGGAACTTGCAAAGGTGGGGAAGCGAAAAATCACTGGGCGTGCGAGAACGCAAAGGGCAAGCCAAGGAGGAGAAGGGTGATTCCTCTCGTTTCCACTTCCCTTCAGGTTAGTATTCACCATGTAGGATAAACGAAGCAAAAAAGTTAAGGTATGGCCAATGCTGAATCCATCATTTGTAGGTACCCCTCTAAGGTGGACTATCTTTGAAGACGTACCAGCTTACAGTGACGGATTCTCTACACTAACTCAAAACCATTTACAGTTGATTTCTATCACACAAAATGCTACATCATGGGGGCCGCTTATAGAAGACGCGTTTTTGTTGTAAAGTGGTAGTAAACTGGAAATTGTGGAGAAGTGCGTATTAGTGCATTGACTGGTAAAACCTATTATTTTGGATAGGTGGTCGCACATAGCAGTTCTACTGTACTTCGTCTTAAAATTTATTACCGACACGTGACATGACGCTTACCATTAGTTTATCTAACAGAGTCTGCACAGTAACTGGAGCTGAGTTGCTCTGGCTGACTGCCGCACCTTCAAATGACAAAACAAGAGATAACGCTGATTAGGCTGACCATAAGATTTGCACAACGCAGAATACTGTTTTTTTTTAAACCTCCCGGTTATTCAAACCAGAACGCATAGTCAGTTCATCATTATTATAAATTACTATCATCAGTATTGTTAACTGATTAATTATTACTATTATTATCAATTTTTCTTCCCCACCTAAAAAAGTAAAAAACGTCCCCAGCGAAGAAGGGCGATGAAAGGCGGATTTATCTGCAGGCTAGCTGCAATCTTGCCCACGATTTTTCTACCAAATGTGTTCTCCTCAGGAGGCCACAAGAGGCGTGATTTCATTATACAGTCAGGGCTTGAAAAAATTGAATTCCAATTTGTCTTGTCTGGGGCCAGTTCTTGCTCGTCTTAGTTAATGATTTTGTCAGAGGATGACTTGCCTGGACCCTCACCCATTGGACAAGCAAGCTTTAAAAGTTACTTGCCCAGCAAGAAAATCTACTTGTCCTAGACCACTAGTTGGGACTTGTTTCGAGTCCTGACAGTGCACCCGATATAACGAGGTACTGGAAAAATTATCGGGCTCCAGTTCCACGCATTTTACTGCAACTGGGACAAAAAATATTATTCTTTACGCTTGGGTTCAACTATCGGGGGCGTCATATAAAGGTTGGTTATACCCGGGCTTCACTGTATAACTTGTGGAAGAAAACTCAAGTTTGTGTTAGATAAGGTAAATGAATTGAACGCGGTTAAAACTAAACTAAATTTCTAGGATTACTAGAGTTTCGCCTGTAATACCCTTACATTGAGCGGTCATACCGTCGGAGTTCTTTGACGCCAGAACCACTTTATATAGCATTATAGACAGCAGCACAAGAAAGGATAGTCTCCCTCGCAGCCGTTTTTGTCTCGTCACGCAACGCTTGGGAGGAGAGTTGAGTGACGAGACAAGAGGGAGAGAAAGAAAAGAACTGCTGAGGAGTTTTCACTGGAACAATTAGACTTCCTTCACAGTCTCATAATTTGAATTATATTGATGTCTTTAACTGTTGGGGAGAAAACGTGGCACCACTGAAAAGTGAGAATGAGCTACAACAGCAACAAACCTGTATTTGATGAGGAAGCTGATGACAGAAGTGACATCAAAGCCGCAGGTAGCTGAACGCCGCCGCCGCTATTAGTTGACACAGCTGGAGTCTTTGCAGGTACATGAGTGGTCCCCTTCTGCCAAAAGAAATCAGCTCAGTCAATTCCAAACGGAACTGCCACAGGGAGCAAGGGAGTTAATTGTGACTTTGATTGGAGGAAACGAACGTCGCCCGAACGCATCTGGAAGGCGAAGCTTTCCGAGCGAGACACGAAGTGCCGAGAAGAAAATTATAGTCGCTGTTGTTCGTCCACATTTATTACCGTTCGCGGTTTTCCAGAGCATTGGATAATATTTCACCAGGTTTGCAAAACGATCGCATGACGGTTTGATTGGTCAAGTTCATATTGGATTCTACAGTAAACAAAGGCGATTGGCGCTCTCAATTATAAAATTTAACTGCAATCAAGGTCACAAATTGCTCCTCTGCGCCCTGTGAAACTACTGATGTCTGGCGTTTATATTAAAAGAGTTTGACTGGGCTGAACTTCAGATTTGTGTAACTAGCCCGTAGGGTGTACGAGCAATTACTGCCAAAAAAATAATAATAATAAGGGGGTGATTGGACTATGGCTTAAACGAATTGTGGTCGTTTCGCCCATCGGGCGAATCGAACTAAGTCCGGGCGAACTGCCGTCGGGCGAATCGAACGGCTTAAAGAACGACAAATAAACATCCAGCGAAACGAACTAAGTACGCACGAACTGCCGTCGGGTGAATCGACTTTCAGGCGAAACGACCAGTTACCGCGCTGGAACGTGAGCAAGTATCCTATCTTGCGATCGAGTGGCGAAGGCGTGAGAGTCTCCTTTCGCGTGCGGCTATCGCGTGACTTCTCGCGACTCCCCCAAAAGGAGAGCTTGCTCGAAGGCTATAAGCATCCAAGAACGCTAAACTCCACGAACTAAAAATAATCAGTGCTCCAAAACAAAAGGATTAATGTAATAGATATGATTTAGCAAAAACTGAAAGGAGTTTACAATCTGGACATACCTCATCATGAGGGATGACTTTAGGTTCTTCAGAACTTCCTTGCTGGTTTTCTGGATCAGGTTCTGCAGGACTGTCTGGAAGACTACAAAAAACAAAGAAACAAACAAGCGAAAAAGAGCTCATGTTCAGCATATTAGAGAATCTCTCAGCTTTGTAAAGATTTAGTTTTACATCTAGCGTTGATAGGTACTAAACTCCAAACAAACAAGTAACAAATTATTCATGCTGTTTTTTTTGTACGTGGAAAAGAAACAAAGTAACTGCTTTAAGGTTCAGGTCGTTCGACTTGTGTTTTGTCACATGTGATTTGCAAGATGGCATTACATAAACACCCTAAATTATAAAGCACATAAATAACAAAGAAAATTTGTAAAACAATTTTTCTAAAAAAAGATTCAATATCAAAAATAGGAGTTCACAAACTTGAGCATACCTTGACTTGGTTAAAAATATATCAGCAAGGATACTTGCTTCTCGAGTTTTCTGTCGGCAGAAAATTACAAACAGATAGTATTACACCAGCAAATAATCAAGGCAGGTGTTACCTTTTTAACGATAAATACCACTAGTTATTTGTAGTGTAAAATTGTTACAAGAACGAGGTTCTGTCTAGTCAAGAAACAAAATTTTAACAACCCACTAGAGTTTCTAAACACATAAAGGCTGTTTTTCACTAGTGATGGAGTCGGAGTCAGAATCGTTAGAGCGCTTATGACGTTGTGAAAATCAAAAATCGGAGTCGTAAGCGGAGTCATAAACGCGACGGAATCGGGGTCAGAAGAATCAGAACGTTTCAATTTTCCTCCGACTCCGCTTCCGACTCCGTCGCTTACGATCTAGTGAAAACCAGATTGTTGGAGTCGGAGGCATAAGCGGAAGGAGAAAACAATCATTGTGCAATGCAAGTTCCCACGCTTTATGATTGGTTTAGTTCTTCTGCTTCTACTTACAACCTGGTTTCATTTGATCGTAAGCGGAGTCAGAACGCTGTTTTCACTAGATTGTTAAGTCCTACGCTTCTGATTACGACAACGACTCCGTCGCTAGTGAAAACCAGCATTGAAAGCAAGTCCGGATCTTCAGTTTTTTTAAGAGGGGGGTGGTGATGGTGGAGGAAGGGGGCGGGGGGTCCTAATGCGTAATTTTCTACAAAATAAAGCTCCGTTATAAAACAAGTGGGGCTTGTACAATTTACATTACACACAGGCTTAAGGGAATACAGTCAAACCTCTCTACATTTTTGGCAACCTTGGGGACGGAAGTAAAGAGCTGTTGTAGATAGGTGCCTATTGGGGGGAGGGAGTGTAATGTAAAACCTCTTTTGGAGAGGGGATGTAGAAAATGTTCTCAATAGTGTACTGTATTACAATTTCAAATAACAAAATGAAACAGCAAAATCCAAAAATGCTGTAAAATGATCAGAACAGAAATCTTAATAAACAAATCGAGTTATGTGACGACATCAGTCAACATAATTCACTTTTAAATGGCCATTCTGGAGAGATTATTTAATGCTTTTCTGTGGGTGGCCATTTAAAGAGGTTAATGGAAGAGTGATTGTATGGAATGTTTGTTTGGACAAAAATTCCAGCTGTTATCATTTACAGGGTGATGGCTGTTAGTGCAGGGTTCAACATAAAATGTATGACTAACCTGTATGTGTTTTTGTTCACTTTTAGTTCCTCGTTCTGTCTGATGATCAACTGTTAAGGGCGCAGGTCTGTACCACTGAAGTAAGACCATTACAAAACCCCTTGTTAGAACATGATCCTTGGGATCCGATTGGGACCCGATTTATTTTTATAGATAGATGTTATTTTTTTTAAAAATTTAATTAGTTGCTATTGAGATATTAATTACTTAATTTTTCTCTTATATTGTCAAACACTTTTATCATGAGCCCCTGGCTCGGGGGATTGGGAGACCACCCCCTGTGTATCTGACATTAAATAAATTATCTTATCTTATCTTATGAGACAGCACTTAAATAGCCATTGTTAAAGAATAGAAAGTGCACCTAATGAAAGGCAGTGGCCAGGGCTGTCATTAAGAGGCGGGGGCTGGGGATTTCCCCCGGCTACTATGAACGTCTTCCCAGGCTACTTTCAAAGGAAAATAAAAGAAAAATAGAACCGAAAGAAATTCCTAGCTGTTTGATTCCCCGCCCACTTGTTGTATTTAACCGGCAACTTGAAATCTTAGTGACAACCCTGAGTGGCACAAGTAATATGGCCCTCCTTTTCTTCCCACACCCCCTGTCCTTCCCTCGCACCTCTTCCTGCTTTCCTGTGAATTCTGTTTGGGCCTCTTTTCGTGCTTGAAGGCTTCTCTCGAGTCCTCAGGGCCTTGGTTTCTTCATTAAAGATGCCCAGACGGATTGATTGGCTTGTTGTTTACTGAGGCGTGTGCGCGTGTGTGTATGTGTGTGGGCAATTATTGTCAATATTCCTAAGGTATAACTTAATAATATTAGCCCCAGGACCCCCATGCTCTTTTGCTGGCCGTGTGTTGACTGACATCTTCTTGCAATCTGATCACTTGTCTCGCATAACAGTGCAGTGCCCATTACTCCTAAAATGGGCTAGCCTGCAAGCAAGCTCTCCATTTGAGGGATATTGTGAAAAGTGGACGCGCGAGAGGCACACAAGAGGAGACGCAAAAACGGCCCTACTCGCTGGTGGGTTCTCAAGCAGCTTGCTTCCCTTGCCCAAATAGGAGAACTTGCTAGCAGGCTAAAAATGGGTGCAAGGCCTCAGCAAAATCCTACCGCCCGCCATAACATTTCCATAGTATGCTATTTACCTTTATTCTCTCTGCCATTATATCTTCACTTAACCGTTTAGCTTGCTCCACAAGCTGAAAAAGGGCAAGATAAGACCTGGTTAGTCAAACATCAAAGATTAAGAAACTGAAAACTATCCATAACTTAAGTAAGTAATCATTGAATTTATGCCCCAGGAAATTAGAGAAAATTACTGGTGCAAACAGGATGAATGTTATAAAGAAGTCTCAAAAAGGTTTCTCTGGTAAAATCCAAACATACAATTGTGTGTACTCTGACTGATAAGTAGGAGGGATTTTCTGTCAGTTGTTGTCTTCAAAGGGTGACAGAAATCCTTGTTTAAGGTTCATACCTGCCTTTCCCTAACCATCTCATTATGGGCGGCATCGAGAAAATTAACAGGGTGTCTCACCAGAGCTAAAAAAAATAAACACCTTAATAATATTAATGATACTACATGCAGTAAACAGATCTCCAAAGATCTGGGGCAAAGAAAGTCAACTAATTAATTCAAGTTGTAGTGTAGTAGTTGTAGAATCTGAAACTTGGAGGCAGGTTATGAGTTTTTCTCTCCTAGATATATACACAGGTGGTTTTAAACTGTTCCCCATGGGAAATGCAAGTTTGATAAGCAATACTTTAGGATTTTGCTTCTCTTGGTAGTTTCCTAGTAAGGCTACTGATTATTTTACTACACTAGACATTTTTCTTATTTGATTTACAAGATGTTCAGACGTTCAAGGTACTCCACACATAAATGAGATACACATAGTTATAAGGCTAGATATTGGCATAGTCCTACTTTTTCAGTATATTAAGAAATTATTACAATTTTATGGTTAACATTGTTTCTTTCAGTTTAACGATCATGACTTCCAGCTAAACAAATTGGTAGTAAAACAACTGGACACCGCAGGAAAGGAATAAGCTGTTCATAACAAAAAACATATGTTTTTTCAGAATCAAAATAAATTTAGGGAAGGCATGGCAAACTGACCTCTTTCATCTTCATCCATCTCAAAGAAGTGGAATATAGCCAGGTTTGCATCATCAGTAGGCCATTGAACTCTTTTGCCCTTCTTTGACTTCTTAGCTGGTTTCTCTTCAGCTGCTGCTTCATCAACTGCTGAGGCTGTTGTGTCTGATGAGGTCTGTGATGCTGCAAATGTGTCAATCACAATCACAATGATGCCTTTTTTTGGGGGGGGGGGGAAGATATTAGTATTGTGTCAAGACTTTAAGCCTTAAGAGTGATCAGCATCAATTTTTTCCTGGTAATATTTATCATCATAAAACAGAGTTGTCACAAGAATTTAGGGATTTAATTGACAAACTTTAACAACTTCTCACTACTGAACATCAAAAGGAAATTTTAATGACAACAAATGAGAATTTAAATTTTGCTATCATGGTTGTAAGGCTTACCCTCAATTTTTGATCAAATTCACACCTTATTTTATAGACGTTGTTTTATTTTTTAAATCAAATATGGGCTAGCTGAAGGCTGTGCCGGCAAGACAAGAGTCCTGAGTGAAGTTAAGACAACTCTCACAGTGCATTTGAGCAGAGAAAATGGCTGAACACAAAAGGGAAACTAACCGCATGCTACTCTAAAAAATTGAGCTTTTTAAACATCCAGTTTCCCTACAACTGGTTCTCAATCTGGACAGGATTCAAACTCATGGCCTTCCTCTCCGCACACCAATACTCACACAGTCATATATACATGTATATACATACATATACATACATACAACTCAATTTAAACAGGGTAATGTTAGAAAAAATATTTTAATAAAAAGAATTACTGTTTACACTTCATTTACCGTTTTACAAGATTGCTGAGTGGGAAACTGATGATTGAAACACTTGATTAAATTCCCTTTTGAATTGCCCTGGTACTGACTTTCTGTTTCTAACATACTGAGGTAGGAAATTTGATGATTGAGCCCCACTATAGCTAAAATTAGCTACCCTTTAGATAATATTGGTACGTGGCTTGGGCAGTGTTAGCCTACCGCTCAAGTTTTGTAGCTCATAATATAAACTTTGTTCATTGAATAAGTCCTGCATTAGTACACTAGGACTACCGTAGTTTATGGAGGGATGTAAACATCATAACAGCCTTTTGTTTTTCCCTTTTTACAGAGAGTTTACAACTCATTTAAGAAGCAGCTTACAAGTAACCAAAATGGTGGTAACTTAAAGACTAAAACTGAACAAACTTTTCTGGAAGCAAGAGAATTTATAGGCCAAAAAACTTAAGTGTCTCTAAACAATCATGATTTAACTCTATAATAAAGAGGCAAATTAAAAAAAACTCTCTAGTGGCTAGACTTATGAACATACCTGAGTTAGGAGAATTGTCTTTCTCAGATGACTGCAGAGAACAAAAAAGGACAAAAAAAGCTTCAAGAACAATAGATCAAAACCCCTATACCAAAGCACATGCAGCTGAAATATGGAATTTTTTCTCATTTTCTGAAAAAGCATTTTTTGTCATTAAATCAGGATGACTGTTACATTTTGGTGTGTTTGTGTTAGTATCTCCTTTATCCTTTTATTATTAAATATAATTCTGATGGCATCACTGGCCTTTTTTTCCTGAAACATATTTGCAAGATGATTGACTTTGTAATAGAAGTTGCATGGCCATTATAGCCGCTTTCATACCTCAGATCCTTTGCTAAAGTCTCCAATATCCCCACCTAGACAAGAAATTTATGCAAGAAAATGTAAAAATGAACACACATGAACTTGTTCAAAAAAATTAATGAAGAGCCAACGCATACTCTTTGATAAGCACTAATCTTTATGAAATTTCTTGAGCAGACCACGTGACCTATAACAAGTTTCCCGTAACACTATATGTAGGTTTTACTTAATAATAAGATGAAATGTGATCATAGATTGTTTATTGCGCATATATATGAATAAATCGTTTCCAATTTCAGTTAATCAATAATTTTCTTTCTTCTCATCTAATCTCTAGCCTGCACTACAGACATCATTTAATGCTGGTTTATGACTTCTGCAAAAGTAGACCACAAATCCTTATTCTGGACCTCCAAATCAAGTACAAGTAAACATAATACCAAAAAAAACTTTCAAATGATTGACTTGGATAAAAACTTTTCTAGCAGGCAGTTAATTAATTTAACTTAATATCGTAAACTGTCTCTTATAAGACCTGGGCTTATTAATCTTTGTAAATGGTTTTAGCTAAGAAGGCTGATAAATGAAGAGGCTTCAATAAACAAGCCATATCAGTGATGACCAAAATATGTTTCACATTTATTGGTTTTTAATTAAGCTTCAAAACCTCACAATAATTATTGAATTCACTCCAATATATTTGGAGAGGGGATTATATCTGGGGGAGGAGCGGATGGGGTTATAATCAGATGCATTATTATGTTAACTGGTAGATTAACCTATACCTGGGAGGGGGGGTGCTTACAAGTGGGAGAGCATGTAAGTGGCAGTTTACGGTATTATATTGCAGACTTACTTGGAACTGACGGTGTGTTTTCTGGTGATCCATTTGGAGTTGAACCTGATTTGTTGTTGCTGTAAAAAAGGGAAGCAATTAACTTATTAACTTAAGGGTCTAGGTTTTACTTGAAATTTATCCTTACTCCAATTTTTTTTTATTTCCCTTATTTTCTGCATGGAAATAAAATGAATCAAAAGCAAAGGAAAAAACAGATGGGACAAATTTGAACCACAGAATCGGAATAAAGAGCATTTATAAGTTAACATTATCCTTCTTAATATAAAGTGTGTATGTAAATATGGACAAATGTTTGCTCATGTTGCAACAAAGTAAAAACATTAGGTAGTGTCCCACTACCATAATTATCAGTGAAAATTTCTAGAGAACAACTGGGACGAGTTTCCTTCAATATTCACTAAATTTATAATATGTTAATGGCAGAGGTCAAATTGCATGGATTTTCCCGGACTGTCATTATTTGAAAGAAAAACAAAACCCATAGGTACTTAACAATAACATTTCTAGACCGACATTTGTAATCACCTCCAGTGAAAATGAACAAACAAGCTTGTACCTGTGTCTGACACAACAGATACCACTGCCCTTAAGGCAGCAATGCCGTGTGATTCAACAGATTATAGCAGCTGTCTACCCAATTACTGTTCTGAGAGTCAAGGCTGGTTTACCTTGTATTTGAGTTGTCAGTATCTTTGTCTTTGCTTTCCTTATCTCGTCCATCCTCTTGGCCATGTGTCTGTGACTGACTGTCCAGTATTGCATCTAGAATACCTGTGTATGTTGGCTACAACATAAAGCATATGTGAAAAATCCATTACTTAAATGCTCCTTTGAACAGTGAGAACTAGTAAAATCAAATTTTATGACAGAATCTTTTGGCAGGCTGCTTTCAATGGGTCAATAACTCCTTCAAAAGTTCATTTAAAAATTAAAGCTAAATACTGTCTTAACATGATTTTGCGAGGTTAACAGAAAAAGCTTGCACCTGACATGGTTATAGGCAGCTTTATCTAATAAAAACATAATTATTTACATCTTGAAAATGATGTAGGATTGAGCAAAGAGGAGGTACAAATAATATTTTTAAGTATGAAGCCAACCAAGAATTTTTTGGAGGATTGAAAGGTTCAAACCAAAAACACTTTGTGGAGGCAATGGGGATAATTTCTGAAGCAACACATTTGCCATGAGTGAATGCAATAGCAACACCACTGAAAAGTAAGCATAATTATGCAGTAACATAAGATCTTCCACCAACCTTGGTATTTGACACTGAAGATGTTGCTGTTGTAGTTGTAGTTGTTCCAGTCTGCAAATAATAATCATAATAATAAAATAAATAAATAAATAAATAAATAAATAAACAAAATGTTTTTTTGTAATACTTCATCACAAAGTAAAAGTAACCCCAACAACGTAAACAAATACCTTTGCAGCAGTAACGCGCTTCCTTTTCCTGACCACTGGAGCAGCAGAAGCTGCAGATGTCAGTGCATTCATAAACCCTGCACTCTCCATTGCAACCGCTTGTGAAAGAAGAAAAGTAATCATAAAACTTTTAATTAGCATTATTGAAAATGAGGGAACCTCAACAGAATGGAATTGATCAGGAAAAGTAAATAAGCAATTTTGATTGGAAGGTGCTCCTCTAACTAGAAAAAAATCTTATGCAATTAGTCATGTTTTGATTGTTCAACTATGATCTTCAGTTGAAATGACCCATCAATCACAATCCAATCACCATAACACTTTAAAATAATTATAATAGTTTTTGTGGATGTCAAAGAGCCCACACCACTATATGAAAAGAGTAGGGGGCATAGACCCGGGTGGTGTGGCCAACCTTTCTTGGGCTGGGTGAGGACGGGATAGCCTCATGCTCCGCCTTCAGGTGTAGTACAGTGCAATGGCTACCTGTTATTAAACACAGTATGTAATGCCAGCAAAGAGCTGGAACTGAATTTCTCAATCACGTATTACCAACAGCCAGTTGCCATAGATAAAGTCAAAGTCTTCTCCATAAATTATCAAGAAGTAATAGTATCACAATAAATAATTTGTTGGATTTACAGACAGTCCTAAATAATCAGATATGATACTACCCTTGAATCTCAATGACAGAGTTGTTATACCTGCCATTGGTCAACAAGACATTAGTAATAGCTGTTGTATGTTGTTGTTGTTTATACTAAATTGTTAATTGTTTATAGCCACTTACGTTTAGGCTGAGGTGGGATGACTTTTGTCTTGGAAATATTTCTCTGTGCCAAGCTTTGTTTGACATCACTTTTAACCTCACTTAATGTTTTTAATTTCTTCTCAGGCTGAGGTGACCGGTTAGAATCCGAGGAACTGTTATCCCTGTGGTTAAAGAAAAGATCATAAATCAAATGAAGCTGTTTACAATATTACTGTAGCTTCTTAGTTTGACAGGTATACCCAAAAATTGGCAAGAAAATATACACCACTAAGCTAGCTATATTTTGCGGGAGAGATGTCTGCACCTCAACGACAGAAATTCCATACTGATGACGTAAACTCTGTCCAGAATCTGGTCAGGAGATCTGAATGGTTAACCTAGTAATTACATTTTTTAAACCATTGTTTACAAATGACAGACAAAAGGTCACAAAGGTTAAATGTAACTAGATGAATCTACTACAAAACAGTCGTTATAATTCATGGGATGGAATATAAAATAATATTCTTTAGAAAAAGGATGTGCTGCAATTTGTTTGCAGAAGAACAAAAAAAAGGCGAGAAGAATAACCTCAAACAAATTATTATCACATTTGGAACCCAGAATAATTATGTAAACAATGATTTACTTCATCATTTTAGCATTTCTGTCATTCTGGCACAGGGCAAAACATCCATAGCAGAAAAGAGCAAGGAGAGACGGCTGCACTCAAAGGCTAATTTAAACAGTAAGCAGATTTTGGATGTTTTGACAGATATTTTACCAAAAGGCACTATCAAGTATTACAAATGTTACCTTATTCTTTTACCAGGTTTTCCTTCACCTTCATAAAGGGAGAAAAATACAAGAAGGCATAAATAAAAAATTCAACTTTGTAGACATAAGGGGAAAAGAATCCTTCTTTAACACTATTTAATACATGAATGCAGAGTAGATGTCTTGACACAAATATAATATAAATTATGTTGTGGTTCAAATTTTTCTTGGGTTTGAATTTTTTAAAAACCGGTAGAAATTTTTCAAACTGGTTTGAATTCTTCAGGCCAAAAGAATGCAAGAACTGATGTAAATGCAGGGGTGATCAAAAGCCTTGAGCAGGGTTCTTGGGAAGCTGCAGTGACTGTGTAGTCATCACAGAAGTGCCAGTTACTCATAAAAAAATATTTTTTCAAGGGTAATTTAATACAATTCTTGGTTGATTTGTTTCTCAACACCCTTCCACATCATCATTTTGTCTCCTGGTCACTTTCAAAGATGCAATGAAATGCACATTTTAGGGCCATCAAAATAAAAATTTTTAATTCCCCACAGAAGCCCCCGGACTTCCCAAAGGAATGGGTGACATCTGTTCCCTAACTACTCAAGTGGGAAGGGTGCTTCTCTTTTTGTAATCTACTGCCTATTTCATTTTTTCGCCTTCTAGAGAACACACACCTAGTATTTACATAAGTTAATAAATTTATGATAATTTTGATCATCTCGGTTTTGTCTCACCTTGTCTATTTCCTTGCAAACTATCTTCACTTTCGGTTGAGCCATTTTGTTTTGGTTTCTCCACTTTTTCTGCGATCAAGGAACAAGAAGTACATTAAATCAAATGCGTGGTGCACTTTAGCAATTAGGGTTTCGTTTCAGTGTAAGGCAGCCCAGGTATGGTGGTGGTTCAATTTCATAAAATTTAAACCAATTGGTTTAAATTATATTTTCTTTTGTTTAAAACTCTCTATCATACATTACCATACTCAAAAACAAAGGAAAATAATATTCAAAACAAGGATAAAATAAAACCACAACATCTTCCTTATACTCTCTATTTTTAAATCCCCCTATTGAACACCCGTACTGTGGTTTTTTTTTATGGAGGATTGAAATACTTCTTCCTGCATTACCTGATTGGTTTCTTACAAGACTCATCCACTGCTTGACAATAACTGAAGCTAGCTTTTTGACATCTGGAAAAAAAGTTATTTACTCTTTTAAAAATAATATACAGTGGTCAATGCATATGCATCCTGGAAATTTTCAGGGGCTAGAGTGTAGGCAATTTTTATTTCAACAATTAGGCAGTCTGGGGCAATTTTAATTATTGGGTATATTGCTCAAAAAAACGTTTTGCTGACAGAGTCACCATCACACAAACAAATGTAGATGATTCCCAAGCCCTCTACTGTACATGTAGGTCACATAATCATAGAAATAGAGACAACCTTAAAAAGAAACAGGCCATTGTTTTACAGATGTAATAAGTTTTAATCTTCTTCATTTCTATTCATCCATGGTCCTTCAGAATACCCCCTGACCTTCCCAAAATCCTAAGGAGAACACTGCTTGAGCTCTTTTATAACTATTAAAGCAGTTACGGTGAATTTTCAGTCAATTCTGTGAACGTTAGGTGAGTTCTGAAATCACTTACAGAGAGTGTGACATATCCCCTTGAGATTGTCATAATCAAGAAATTCACGACAACAGACATGTTACCTTGATTTTCCAACTTTGTGAGATGCTTTATGATTTTGCCAGTATTTCCCTACAAAGTTTATCGAAAGATAAAGCACTTTAAATTAAGACAATATTCAAAGTAATCAAAACTAAACAGCCTCGGACACTAAATATATAGGCCATTTTGGAATTATCAAAATTAAAACTTGGCTCTGAAGATGAGGGGAATAAAATGTCCAAAGAAATAAATATAATTTACAGTCTTTCCCCACCTTATGGACACCCACTTCATAGACATCTCATTATTACTGACAGTTTGCTTTGTCTCTGGGAAAAGAAAGCCCCTACAATATCTAAATTCAACCCGCTTAATATGGACACCCCATTACTACGGACACTTCCTGCCGCAGGGAATCTACTGAAACCCTTGCCCTGATGACATCATGTGTACCGCCCAGACCAAGCCAGTTGGAGAAGACTTTCAGTCGACTGCTCTTCAGTCGACTGGTGATGATAATGATAAACCATTATTAGACATTTAGAGAAAACTTGAACTCACTTGTTTTAATGTGTCTATATTTACAGGTAGATCTCTCAGGACCTGAATCAAGTTAAAGAGAAACCACAAGTTATGTCAGAGCTAAGTACGCTAGTTTTTTTTTAAATAGCAAGACAACATGTAACACTGTATTGCAACTGTACCTCCAGTAGCTCTACCAAAACAGGAAAATTTTCATTTTTCTTCGCCTCAACGAGCCATTTGTTCAAAATACTCCACCCACCTATAGTCATAAACCTGTTAAATGAAAAATACCAAACTCATCTCCTTTCTTATTTCATAAAATTCAGTACCATACCAGACTGATCAGTCTAGATGAAGATATATATGCTGATCCACAAGAATGAAAAGCTACACCACAAACCTCCATGCTTGCTCAAACTCACACCAGTGTGCTATAAATGGTAAGTGAGGTTGAACAAAGATTCTACTCTAATGATGCAATTTTTAACGCAACCTACAGAAAATGTGTCTCATAGGCTATTCAAATGGATAAAACTGCTCACAGCATTAAATTGGCTTAAGCTTAACATGAAATTGTCTAAATCTACCCACATATTAGAGCCATTTAAGATGTAAATGTACATAATCATGGTCTATATTAAAATAAGGTGTGCCAGTTCCAAAACATATTAACTAAAATCTCTAAGGCCCCATTGGTATGAATCACATAGATGCCACGACATGTACAGGCCCACTTACTTTTCTAGTGTTTCACTTGAAGTTTCATTTTCTTTGGCAACTGAAATAGTAGCTTTAAGAATATTCAAGTAAATACACCGACTCATCAGCTTCTCAGCATCTCGCATTAAACTGCAAATGAAAATATACTGTGTGTTATTTAATATAAGATTACTTATCTAGGGCCTCAACATATTGTTCTAAAACTTTGGCAGACATATACTTTTCCATTAAATGTACCTAGAGCTTACTGAAAAAAAAAAGCATATGGGGTATATTAAAATTCCACCTTTTAGATTTACACTTCTTTTTTTGAGACACCCCAGCATTAAATCAAGAAAATACTTGAAAGTAATAATTATTATTAATGTCTAACAGAAAGCAAAGCCAAAAAGACTATGAAGCATTGATTTGAATTGACATTTCTTTAATTAATTTACTTTAATTTATTTAAAATCTCTAAAGGAAGAATGAAAAGTGTTACAGTAAAAACCAGCGTATAAGAACCTAACATTTAAGAACCTGTTAGGCTAAAATTTCATTTTTAAGCACCCTTCACATAAGAACCATTTTAGGCTAAAATCCTAAAACAGGTTCTTATTTTCAAAAAAAAAAAAAATATATATATATATAACACAGTCTGTATGCAATAATACTCTAAACACTATAGCATGGTTACATAAAACTTTACCATAGGTTTGATTGTAACAGAATCAGATTAAAATAGTATAGTATTTTGCTTAACAAAGCCTCCAAGAATTGTTTTTGGACATTAAACACCAGATCATTTAAAAATTCGGCTTTATTTCATGAACAAAAGTGAAGAACCTAATTAAGAACCTAGTTAGCCTAATTTTACACTAAATACCATCTATATAAGAACCTGTTTAGGCTAACTTGGAAAAACCTAGGTTCTTATACGCGGGTTTTTACTGTATGGGCAAAACGTTAAGTGCCTACAGAACATAATTACCTAATTACTCGTACAACTTCTTGTGGCGTTTTGATGTCTCCAAAAGAGCCCAGCATTGGTCTAAGTGCATTCAAAAGGGTGCGAGGTTCACCACCAGATGTGCTCTAAAACATATCAAAAGAAAAAATTATATATTTTGTTGTGTAAAATTATCCTAAAATGCTGTTAAGTAAAAGTAATTAACAATCACACCAAAGAAAATGTGCAGACAGCACAACTCACAATATCCTAACTTCCTGTAGTAGAAAAAAAAAATTTCAAAAAGGAATGATCTAGATAGAATGACAAATTAAGCTTTCTTGTACTGTAGCTTAAGGGCATTTGGTAAGTTGCTACTTAATAAAACAATTAATTTAATAATAATAATAATAATAATAATAATAATAATAATAATAATAATAATAATAATAATAATAATAATAAATCCATTAACCTATATTGTAAAACCCATTTAGGGAATACTGGGGGAGATGATAAACAAGGTATTGACAAGGTGTCCGTAAGAAACAAGCTAAGAAATTCTTCAAGTAAGAGAAATCTTACTTTATTTATGACTAATAGCCTTAATATTCATCCCAAAATATTTCTCTCTTTTCTGATTGCCTGAAATAACCAGCTACCATCGACCTCAATTTGAAAGACATGTGATATTTTTACCAATGATTGTAGGTCAGCTGTTTTGGTAGAGATGGAGTTCACTGCTTACCATGTTTTTCTCTTGAAGATTAGTATTTAATATCAAAAGGCAAAACCTTTGCTTTTTGGCATCTGTCACGAACTTTCCTAGAATAATAAAAAAAAAGAGGCATCAAGCATTGCATATAGACAAGCCTGCTCTCAACCTTGTGGAAAAAAGAAGCAAAAGTTTAAGGCATAGCTTGTCGAATTGCGACCTCTACCTTAAGTTAAGGCAACCATGTTACAAACACGAAAATAGCAACCCTTCTCTTCTTATGATACAAAAATTGCAAACAACAGAATATACAATGTCTATGTTATACTCCAGAGGGGTTGGGCAAACTTTCTCAACCAAACCTCAATTATTTTAATCTCTAAAAAACTGAACTGAAGGTTTCATTTTGTTTGAACCTCACTCAAGGTAAACCTTAAGTATATTATGCTCTTTCAAAGTCCATGAATGCATTAACACGTCTATAATATATTAAGCAATGTTCAGAAATTAGCGAAAACTATCTGTGGGGTCAAATTTTATCCCTTTCAAAGGAACTAGGATATGCGAATTAGGCATACTCAAAAAAATTATAAGCTCTATCAAAGCAAAAAAAATTATTAGAAAATGCAAACATTTATAAGACTTTTTTGCAATTCATGTTGTGAAGCAAGAAAGGAATAGTGTTATAGGAAGAATAACCACACAATAAACAAACTCTGTGTAATATATACGGGTCTTCATTCTTTCCAACAATATGAATATGTATTTTAAGAACTTTGGATGTCTATAATGGACAGAGACCATAATCAGTGTTTTCTTTTTTAATTTGATGGCATTTGCATGGTACTAAAAAAAATGAAATTAATATGTCTCTAACAACTAGCAAAAAGCCTAGTGCCCAGAGGGCAAATTGAAAGTGCTCGTTAGGCAGAACCTATGCTGGTGTGCAAAAACTCCAGGGCTGTAATTAACAGAAATAAAATTCTACTAGCATTCTACAGCATGCACATCCCATAAACCAATTCATGTTGCCTGACATATACTTGATCAGCTGGGGACAGTAGAGAAAAATTATTTGTATTTCACCAAAAAATGCCTATTAAAATCACCAGAAACTGCTTTTTTTATGTTGATTTGCAATAGAATAATGGTAGATTTACAACTACCTTCCAATAAGTCTTGACTTTGCCTTCTTTTTTTATATGTCACAACTTCATGAGGGAATGAAGAAATACAGTAACACATAGCCAGTAACACACGTTCCACACTATTTTTCTTCTCTAGATAAGACAATAAATCTACACATAATGCAACATGCTTTTTTTTCAATCCCATACAAGAAGCCTTTAGCTTTCTCTACAGCTTGTTCTTTCCACATAAATCATTGATTTACATAATGGTGAAAGGGCTGAGTGGAGTCCAATTCGGTCTGTAATCATACAGGTACTTAACAAAATGGGACGACCGCGTAGTGGGAGTCCGATTTGTTAAATCACAAGTATGATTACAGACCATTACCATTTAATCATAACTATAACAAAATTTGCGATCTTTTAACCCTCTTGAAAATATTAAACAACACAAGAAATTTCAAGAGTTTTCTTGCTAGCAAGGAAAAAAGCCATTTAACTGCACGCGCAATGGCGCATACTTTCCAGTTACATAGGTATGAAGTCTACCCTCCTATTAAACTGTCCTAGTAGTGCTGAAATCAGGACAGTCAATAGCCAATCAGATTTGAGAATTATTTTGTAGTTATTATTAAGTCAGTAAGTGCCATAATGATTATTGTTCTCCTACATTTTAACTCTTTCATTCATTATCATTAAGCTAACAGTCGAGGAGCAATCTCTCTTTTCAACAGGAATTGATTATTTTACAATTCTTACAAAAATATATACTATATAAAATTAACTTGCTGCAAAACTGAACATTTTCTGAGGCCCTAAATACTGCACAATCAAGACATTTGCATTTGTCCTATGAGAGAGCACTTCAGACCAAAAAACCTTTCTCAAAGACTACTTTCATTAATCATCAAATTCTTCTTTTCCTGAGGACTGTCAAACAGCCCGGTTAACTCAACAAGTCAAGTTTAGGAATAAATGACCTCTTTTTTCTCATTCCATTAACAGCCCTGTGATCACCGCCCAATTTCTGACGAACAAACCAATTCTTTAAAAAGTTTAGGTAAAAAGTAAAGCATAAAGGTGAAGCTCTTGTTCCTTTCCAATCATCATTTTTTGGAGTGAATGAAAAGGAGGAGAAATGGCACAGAAGTTGTCAGCCTTGCATAAGTCCAAATAATAAAGGAAATGTTTACACGATTGTAGATTATACTGTAGAACATTCATGAATGTGGTTTAAACAGGAGGGTAAGTTGCTTTAAAAAATTGAGCAGAGTTTATCACATTGTTAGGATTCATGAATATTAATAAACCTTTCCTTTCACTAATTCTGCGTCGTAGCAATATTTGACTTCGTTCGACCTTTATAGTCGAAAAACTTCACTATTCTACAGGCAATCTTCGTGGATGAGGGTAAAAGAAAATTTCCCTTTACAATTAAAAACTGAAAACTTGACGCGCACACAGATCCATTTCTCAAACGGAATTTACACAAACTCGATCAGTCATTAGAAACGCGTGCGACTTCACACAACTCCGTTTCACTCAATTCCTAATACTCCAAAAGCAATATACAAGAAAACAAGTACAACCACATGTCTTTAGTAAAACATTTGCCTCAACTGTTAGAGACTTAGTCCCGATCCATTCGGTTTAGGAACACTGTTATGAATACCGCTGCAATTCTGTCGGTCAATTGGCACAGGTCCTGCTTGGTATCAAGTTGTCTCCCTTCGTACAAAATTCTAAGGTTTGATGTTGTCTTTTGAACTGTTGGAATTTGCCTTTCCTACACAGTCTTTATTTCAGACTGCTTATTATTCGAGATCATCGAGATCTTTTCTGATAAAGTGAAAAAGGAAGGACAAAGGACGCAAGTGATTTTAACCACCACGCGAAGACCGCTTTATTTGCAGTTCAACGTGAACGGTGGTTTTATGCGATAAGAGAAAGAGAAAGGCCATATCAACCAACTTACTCTTGGGTTCTGCCTCGCTTTGCTAACCCTTTCCTCAAAGAACTTTCTTTCGTCAATATATACACGATTTAAGCGTGTACATAAATTTTAAAAAAGGAGTTTGGGGCGAACTAATATGACGCGAAACACAATCTACAAGAGCGGCCATTTCACATGGCCGCTCCACTTCAAACAGTCTGTTGATCGATTCCTCCGCAAATGGGCTTCAATTCATCCTGAAAATCACACAAAAAGAACACCATTAGTCCAAGATTGTTACCGCGTCGAAATTTCCACTTCAAATCGTACTTGTGAGGAAGGAAACTGCACAAATTTCAGGCAGGAATTATCCAAACTACATCGCCTTACCAAGTCACACTTGAAAGTCGTACCACACCCCAGAGGCACGATGGACTTACGTTAATCGAACAATGACACTAACTGTTGATTGGTCAATCGCCCATCAATCAAGTGGTTACTTCAAGAGATTTGGGAAAAAGACTGGGCCGAGGTACACTGGCAACATATCAAAATGGCGGCTTCATTTCGAGTGTTATCAAGTCTGAGAAATGTGCTTGCTTTGACCAGTTTTAGGCAAAACTTTCATCAGAAATTATTCAGCGTTTGTTTGAGAACAAGTGTTTTTCACAGTTGGAGCCCATGCTCGTGGATGTTAGGATATCCATACCTTGAAGGTACAGATCATAATTAGACTGCGAGCAGTCTCTTATTTTTCTATGCAAAGTTACTGCACGCGAAACCAAAGCACGCGAGTGGCAAGCGGCGAAGCCGCGAGCCGCGATAAACAAGGGCGTAAGCCCGAGAAGAAAAAATAAGAGACTGCTGACTCTTTTGTACTGTCTGGGGACAACGAAGCTGTCAGGGTAATTTAATTAACCAATTAAACCCGAGTAACTTGAAACGGTTTATAAATAGAACATAAACAACTGAAAAAGTATTGAATTCCTTTCCCTTGAGGAAATTTACAGCAGTTTCCTTCTTTAAGATATCGCATTCCTTAAGAGTTTTAGTTTACAAGCAATTACAGCTTGGTTCGCTATTGTTTGTGAGGCGTGACTATTTTTATCGCTTGCAATCTCACAACAGACCAGTCAATGATCTGTCAACAGCTGTAAAATTGACCAATCAGTTGCTGCGTTTCTGGGCTGACAGAGGGTTTGTTTACTACAAAAGTGTTTGCAGTCCATCTTTTCTCGTCTCGTCCCAATCCCTCATTGTAACATAACATCGTGGTTTGCAATCGTGCTGGCTGAGATAAGAACTAGACAGATTTTAACAGAAAAGGCAGACTGCACGCAGTCTAGATCATAATTTACCCTGCCAATTCTGGTGTGCAAAGTTAAATGTAATTGAGCTTATCAATTTGCTTTGTGTCATTACAGCTGCAGAAGAAGTAGATAAGTGCAAGCAATATAAGCTAAGATGAAAGTCACCTAGGCGAGCTAACTTTTTACTTATTTCTCGAAAGTCAAATGCAAAATCTACATCAACTCTTAAGACTTATACATCAATAAATAATAGCAAGATCATGTCGCAAGTTAATGAGATCATGAGACTTTTGTTTCCATACTGATGTTAACTGTCACTTATAAGCTCTGTCACTTATAAGCCCCCTGTCTCCCAGCCCCGTGGTTGAGGCGTGATATTAATGTATCAGTCAATTCCAGGTACACTCATGCCCCACCAGGCAGCGGCCGGGCATTTGCCTGCCTTGTCAGTCCCAGGGGTGGGGCATTAGCAACTTTTTTGCCCACTGGGGATTGGGCATTTGCCAACCCCAGTGCCACCCACAAGCTTTTGGCATGCACATGCATTCCTATCCAAACATAACTAAATATTGACAATTTTACAGGAAACCTAGCAGATTTGCAGATTAGCTCATATGGCAGGTGTCCCCAACCCCTGGGAATTTGCCTTTCAAGGCCAAAAAATGTTTATGCCCCAGGGTTAGCCTAGGGGGTATTGGCGTACCTGGAATTGCATAAAATCATGACAGAGGCTGACAAAGTGTCTTTTTTGAGAAATTTTAAAATGGAAAGATTGCAGCTTCTTGACATATTGGCTAAGAAGGAAAAGATTGAAAATGAGCTTTGCTCTGTATTTGAAGGTTTTTAACCATGGTTGCCACGGGTCAGGAAATGGGCATGGAAAAAAGTTCTTCAAGGTCAGGGAAAAGTCAGGGAATTTCACTTCAAATCAAGGGAAAATTTAATTCATTGAAAGAAGTCAGGGAAAGTGAAATTTTAATGGTACATATTAATTTTCTACTTTCCCCTCCA